CTTTGTGCAGCGCCAGTCTGCGGTTGCACGCACCATAGACACAAAGTCAGCATGTTTCCAGTCCTTTCCTTTCAGGTCTCTTTTTGTGGCTTTGTGAGAAACAGCCATGCGCCCGCGCCCGGCTGAAGGGGGGGGGAGGGGGAATTGACTTGCCCCCAATTATTTTTTTTAGTGACCTGGGCCAGGTCAAAGAGGTCAATCTCTAAAGAGTCTTGACCCCACCAGTTTTTGTGGATCATTTGTTATTGTTCAAATTTGTTATAGTAAAAGAACGCAATAGTACTTACAGTTTGTCTTTTTGAAATATTTTTTCCCAAAAGGCTGAGGTCAGTGACCTGAAGCCAGACAAGTTTTTGCTATTTTCGTAACGCATGCAATTTTATACACATTTTTATGAAGCTTTGGTGTTTGTATGTGAGGAAAAGGGTACTTACTCACGTGCACAACCATAATTTGACCACAGGGCATATTACCTCGGCCCAGGTCATGACCTATCTCTGTAGGCACCCTCCAAAAAACACATTCTGGGCTCAAAATATAGATAGTTTTGCCAGGTAATTTTGTACGCAGAATTTAAATACTTGGCTGAAAATATGTGGTGCCATTTTTATAGTTCATAACGCCAAGTTAGGTCACGTGAGGTCATGCAAGGTCGTATGAGCTCATCCAAGGTCAGCGGAATATATTGTCTGCAATTGAAAGGCTAGATGAAATAGTGCGATGCGTGTAACCACCTCAATCGTGTTTGTGGAGCTAATGACGTATAATTTGATGTACCAACGTCCCTGTTTTCAGTTTGGTGCAAGTGCATAACCAAACGTCAGGGGAACGGTGTGTAATGTAGACAGCAGCTATGCGGTCTTGATTACCTGTAGATGTGCAATACGCTATTTCTGACCACAGAAAAGCATTGCATTGGTCATATATACCCAGTTAGCACTTCAATTTGCTCTATTGAATGGCCTATAAAATTTACCTAAGTCGACCTCAAATGACCTCTTGGTCAGCTTTAAATGGCATTTGTGTTTTTGATATATATATATATATTATATATATATATATATATATATTCACAGCTGCGCCTTATGAAATAAGCTTTGTCAGAAGCAGTCAAAAAGCATCGCTCTTGAAGGCTACTGGTAAACCAATTTTTAACGGTGATGTGATCAGCCCTAACCCTTGTGGGGGAGCAGGAATGGTCGGAATGGACTCTTCACGGTCTTAGCGCTTGTCTGAAGACTGTGGGTGAGTCTTTAATAATATCGTTTTTGCCCTACTGTGGGGAGTCCCCAATATGCTTTTTAATGTGTTAACATAGGTTTCAACTGCATCTATCAGAGCTATCGTTGTTGACTGTTCTACCTCTGGTGACCTGATATTTGACCCAAGGAAAAAAAACTCGTATGTACTCTCCATATTTGACGAGACCTTTACAACGGTATCTGTGTTTTTCTCATACGGCGTCTGGAAGTTGGAGATCCCAGGGGACGTCAACTCCCCCCCCCCCCCCCATCTGGCCGGGCACGGCTGTCTCTGATCCCTGGCCGGACGCAGGGTAAAGGGAATTTCCACATTTGAAAGTATTGAAACAGGCATGAATGTATTGAAATGTAACTACTACTCACCCTCTAGGTAACGCGATTTCTTTGTTTAGCAAATGTGCTCCTCAATGCGTCATAATTTCATTACGTCATCGAACCTTGCACAACATTGGTCTGAGATCTGGGTGCACTTCTGACACCAACCGTGGGCTCGATCTTGTGGGACCTTATTTGATCCGAAGGTCATGACTTATGGAACTGTAATTTTGACACGGTTGAGGTCATATAGCCCAACCCGCCCTGAGAATTTGGTGTCCCTAATTGTCTTAGTTAGTTTTGAGATCAAAGGGGTCAAATTCCCCCCCCCCCATTCCCCCACCTGGGTGAAGGGTATTCAACCGGCCACCCGGGCGCGCATTTGAGATATCGTTGTTTTGTAAACTAGACGCAGTTTTTGATCGAGTGCAAATTTTTAAACTTTGGATGCAGTGGTATTCAGTGCGAGTATCTGGGCATCAACATCTGCGTCAGTTTACCTGGCTGGCATGAAGAGGCCATCTACCAAACAACTATAAAGTTGACTTGGCTGTGTTGGCCATCACATGGCTTTGTATAGCGCAAATGAGGATCTCCACAGTTAAGTCTAGCAAAGACACTGGCAAGTTAATATGATGCTGATGCTTAAGGACAAACGCACCTTCACCATTTGTGTAAGAGCTATCCTGAAAATCGTTTAAAGATTTGGTTGATCTAGACGGGGTTGCGTGTGGATTGTGCTATAAATGGCTATGTCACGTCACATGTGTGTTGACTCGATCATGGGGTGAGGTCGACTGCGATTATCAGTATCCATTTCAGTCCTTCCGATTGGTAAGCTAAATCCTGAGATAGCAAAGCCATGTCTTTTTTAACTCCCCAAAGTGTCAACGTTTTCAAAAGGTTCCAGGAAATTCTGGATTACATGACGTTTCGGGTGCTTATTCTGACATCATCTAGTTTTTTCTTCAGTTAGCGGTTAAATGAGCAGGATGCCTCTTGTGCCTACATGAACTACAGTTTGCATTAAATGCGATTTTCCGTCGGTTCGTGGGACAATCTGGGAAGATAAGTTCGTTCACTTTGGAGTGCTGGATTTAACTACAACAGAGTAACAACGGATTAACTACAACGCATTTAACAACAACAGTGGATTTAACTACAACGCGATTCTTGAAAGAAGTATGGTCACAGTTGGCCAGCGAATGCAGGTGTCCTTCATACCTCACAATTCGGTCCCCTGATTTCCCGGGTATAGGCTGCCGCTGTGCCGGGTATAAGGTCCACCCAGCGCCCGGACCGAGGTGGTCTTGTACCGGGTCAGTTGGCTCACTCTTCAGACATACGGTCAGTAGGATGGAGCCTTTCTGGACGTCGGGTCATGCATCGTTGTGACCTCTATCTAGGTCAAGGATAGAGGTTAACGGTACGGTGCCGGCAGGCTGGAGCTTGGCTTTGACAAAAATGCCCTCTCCCAGCGTGATGGAATGAGACGTGGCTGCTGGGATTCTGAAGTTTGACCGCGATGGCTCATGGTTTTCAGTGCACTGGTAGTTGCATGGTGCCAGTGCTGCCCAGAGCTTTGTTTTGGGGGACTAGTAAGACTGCCTGTCGTGCAAATACACATATACCGTGTTAATGTTTAAATGTATGTGTTTTATCTCATTTATTTTACTTCTTTGCATATATGTTATGTTATGTTTTTCACCATGCTTAACATGCGCACATGCTTAACACCATGCGCACATGCTTAAAAGGACATCAGTATGCATGCACTGGAGGAGCTGCCCCGGAACAGGGACGGGATGCAGTGGAGGAGCTCCCCGGAACAGGGACGGGATGCAGTAACCTTCCCTGCCGTAACGATCAAGGCGGGCCACGGCCTTGTGATGTTGCATATCGTTACGAGTGGCATGCCTTGGCAGTCTGACGCGCAATGCCAGCGCCTGGCTGTTCCCCTCGTTGGTCCACTTCCCTGATGCACAAACCGTCTATCGAACGTTAAAAACAATCACTCAATCCGCGTCCGAAGGCTTATCTCGATTCCCCCTCCCGCGGAACGTGCTGCGACGCAGCACCGTCGAACAGACGGTCCCTTAGTGACGCGCGGCCTGCACGGCAGCGCCTTCCATTACCCCACATTCACGGCACTGGCCGCGTTTGGCGCCGTTTTCCACGGGCTAAAAGCATCCGCCGGTCAGTTTTTACTGCACGATAAATGAACGTTAATTGTCGCTTGTCTCGCGGACCGGCTGTTTTTGTGCGCCAAGGTCACCAGCGAGTGACGGGTGTCGGGGGCCGCTGTCGGCCCGTGACCCGGCCACCATTCAGCGCCGGCCTAATTTTGACCGATCTGCTGGCGACCGGCCACCGGCCAGCGCGCGGTACTGGCTGGTTCCGGTCGTTGGGGTCGGCACAGGAACTGGTCTGGCCTCGGGGACAGGCACGCCGTGGTGTCGGGGCCCCCGAGAGGAGGCGGTCGGACCAGGGTGTGCTAATGCCCGTTGACATAGGTAGGAACCGCTTGGCGGCCGTGTCTCCCGGGTCGGCGGCGATCTGCCGAGTTGCTGCACTGATTGGTGCCAATCTGTTGGCTTATCGGTGGTTGAGGGCTTGACCTGACTGGCAGCTGTGAGTCCGAGCCGTTCCGTAATCCATATCAAGTTCTATGTCTTGTCGTCTTCGCCGAGATCGGTGCCAGCACCTCCACGGTAGCCGCGGCCACGTCCTGGCACCTGTGTCTTGATGTCTTCGCCAAGATCGGCGCCAGCAGCTCCACGATTGCCGCAGCCACTGTCCCGGCATCTGTGTCTTGCTGCCTTCGCCAAAATCGGCACCACAGCAGCTCCACGGTAGCCGCTGCCACGTCCCAGCATCTGTCCTGCTGTCTTCGCCAAGATCGGCACCAGCAGCTCCACGATAGCCGCTGCCACGTCCCCAGCATCTGTCCTGCTGTCTTCGCCAAGATCGGCACCAGCAGCTCCACGTTAGCCGCGGCCACGTTCTGTCGTTGCGTCAGCCCGGCACCGCTCCCGTGATACCACTCGGCCTTTGTTTGCACTGCCGCCGGTTTCGATGCTGCTTTTCTGACCGGCTGGCCCGCTGTTTGGCGACCCCCTTTGGAGCGTCTGAGCGTTTGGCCAGCATTATTATGAATTGGGCGGGCTGCGACAGCCCTCATCGGGCACGCCGTTATACTTGGGCTAGCGACGGTGGGAAGCGAGACTGGGCGCCGGGAAGGTTGACGCGTTCCCAAAGCTCGGTGACAACTCTCGCGGTGTAAATGGCGGCGAAAACCGTTAGGTTGTGACTAAGACGCGATGCTTGACTTGTTTTGGCTTTCCCGTTTAGTCTTAAATTCGGAGATCTCTCGTAGGGTATGTCCTGCGATGATGCACGCTCGTTGTGTCGGGTCGTTCCTTGTTTACGGCGTGCCGGAAGCCATATGATATGGTCTGATGATGCAATATATTCGTAGGGCCGGTCTGGTGGAGGGTTGTGTGAAATACGATTCACGTGACTTTCCTGGCGGTACGCCCCCGCCGCGCTGGACCGGGTGCCTGCCCCGCGGTCAGCGGGGCGCGGCGCCGCACTGTTGACCCAGGCGACGCGGGCGCGGCGCGGCCTGGGTCACGTGCCGCCCCCGCTCCGCCTGTGTACACAGACAGCGGCCGAGGCGGCGATCTTTGCCGGGGGCTCTCGGTCGTGACGTGACGGCCGGCGGCCCTGCTATCGCAGCCGTCGGCCGAGGCGAGCGGGCCTACCTGCGCCTTCCGGAGGATCTGTCTCTACCCGCGCCCGCACCTACCGGAGGATCTATCTCTACCCTCACCTACCGGAGAATCTGTCTCTACCCGCGCCTACCGGAGGATCTGTCTCTACCCCGCGCCTACCGGAGGATCTTGTCTCTACCCGCGCCTACCGGAAGGATCTGTCTCTACCCGCGCCTACCGGAGGATCTGTCTCTACCCGCGCCCGCACCTACCGGAGGATCTGTCTCTACCCGCACCTACCGGAGGATCTGTCTCTAGCCGCGCCTATCGGAGAATCTCTCTACCCGCACCTACCGGAGGATCTGTCTCTACCCACGCCTACCGGAGGATCTGTCTCTACCCGCGTCCACCGGGGGATCTGTTTCTACCCGCACCACCGGAGGATCTGTCTCTTCCCACGCCTACCGGAGGATCTGTCTCTACCTGCGCCTACCGGAGGATCTGTTTCTACCCGCACCTACCGGAGGATCTGTCTCTTCCCACGCCTACCGGAGGATCTGTTTCTACCCGCACCTACCGGAGGATCTGTTTCTACCCGCACCTACCGGAGGATCTGTCTCTACCCGCACCTACCGGAGGATCTGTTTCTACCCGCACCTACCGGAGGATCTGTCTCTACCCGCACCTACCGGAGGATCTGTTTCTACCCGCACCTACCGGAGGATCTGTTTCTACCCGCACCTGCCGGAGGATCTGTCTCTACCCACGCCTACCGGAGGATCTGTTTCTACCCGCACCTACCGGAGGATCTGTCTCTACCCGCGTCCACCGGGGGATCTGTTTCTACCCGCACCCACCGGAGGATCTGTCTCTTCCCACGCCTACCGGAGGATCTGTCTCTACCCGCGTCCACCGGGGGATCTGTTTCTACCCGCACCTACCGGAGGAGCAGCGCCCTGCCGAGCTGACGAGTGAGGAGCTCTGATGCTGTTGTCAAAGAGGGCATATTGTTTCGGGAGTTTCCCCTGTTCCCGACTGTCTGAGACACTTGTCTTGTTCACGTCGTGCAAAACACGTGATGTGCTAGTTAATCGCACTCGCTCCGGCCGAGCCCTCGTGTGGCACATTCGGTTTTCCTAGTTGATGAACAGCTCGCTATCCTAGCACGGGACCACTCTGTCGACACAGGGTCCTCGCCACGGCGACAGCATTCAACGTGAACCAGAGTGACCACGGGCTGGTCTCGACCTGCCGAGGAGGTCGTGTGTCGGTGCAGGTAGCGCGGGTGTCCCGTGTGATCGCGCGGTGCGGCTGCAGGCCGTGCGTGGGTCGGCCTGACGACAGCACGTCTTCATCGCTGTGTCATGGTGTCGGGGTGACAGAGGTGGGGGCTGCCACACGCTGACCGTGTCGTCCCTGTGTGGAAGACCCCCCCCCCCCCCCCTCCCCGGGACTGCTGGCAGGTTCTGGATGTCGGCGTTGCTCGGTGGTGGGCATTCGCCGATCTGTGTGTGCCCGAGGGTGAGTCAGCGGCCGCCGCATCAGTCGACGGCCGTCCTCTGTTAGCGGCAGTGAGTTGGCACAACCCCCGTTCCGGACTCGGGTTCCGCTGTCTGGAGCCAGACGGTGGTTTAGGGCCGCCTGCCAGCACCCGCGACCCACGGTCCGCGCTGCTCGTTTGCGACCCGCCCCTGCTTCATGCCAGCTAGGTGTTCTTGTCGACGTATGCCTAGAAATAGGTTGCGGAACATCCTCCAACTGGAGTAGATGTCTAACACAATGCTATCGCAGAGCATGGAAAGGAGGTATCCAGATTAAGCGTTGGCCCGTCCGCTTCATGAGGCGTTTCGTTCTTTCCGGTTGTCGACGTTCACTGTGCACGATTGGACCACCGGATTCGGTAGACAACAGACACCTTTTCGCGTAAATCGAGCCGGTCCTGTTAAGGCCGGTTTTCTCCTGTCGTAAGTGACGAGATCGTCTCAGCGGTCCGCGTGGGAAATCCCTCATGCTCGACGTCAATCCCTTCGGTCACGCGCAGCGGCCGTTCCTTTTTGGGAAACGCCTCCGAAACGCTGACAGGCGCCGTCACCGCCTCGGCCGTCGCGCATGCGCGCGCCCGGAGCGGCGGCGGTCGCCGCGCCGCCGCGGCCTCAGTCGGCTGGCGTGATCGGACCGCAGTGAGGTGACCGGTTCCCGCAGCCTGCTTCAGCCGTCGCCGGCGCCGGGACGCCGTCCAGCGCGAGGTCAGTGGACGCGCGCCGCGGTCGCGAGCGGCCCGGACCACGTGTGGCGCACCGGCGGCCGTGCGGACGCTCGCCGTTTGGGCAGAGTCGGGTCCGGGAGGCCCGCCAGAGTTGGCTCCTTCGCGTTAGGTATGTATTACAAGGGTTTAGGGTGGCGAGGTCCCGTGGCTCGGGCACGGACGCTCGCGTGCGGCTCTGCCCGTTGCATCCTGACAACTCGATGAAAATGATTCGTCGCCTGTCCTGATTAATCCAGTGTTTCCCGACTATCTGGCATCGCCGGATGATTTAATTCCTCTGGCTGGTCCGCTGGGAACAGCCCCGGCGCGTCCGAGATCACTGCACGTGGTCTTCAACAGGAAGGCGGCCGCTCGTGGCGGTGGCGATTTCTCACGCGCGCCGGCGAGCCGCCTTGACGGACCAGTCGTGCGGCCCAAGGTCGCGGCGCCGCTTACGCCGCCGCCGGGTTTGATGCAACCGGCGCTGGGCGGCCGGAAGTCCCCAGCGTGGGACAGCACGCCGTGACGCGCCAGCGGTTCCGTTCACGGTTCCGCTGCTGTGGGACTGTGCCGACCGTTGCTTCAGCGTCGTCGACATCGGCGTAATGCCGCCCGTGGAGCGGAGCGGGGGTCAGTTGTGCGTGCGGGGCTGGGGTGCCGTCCACGCTATTGAAACCAGTGGCCCCGTTTCTGCTGATGGTCTCGTCGCTTGTATCAGTGCTGTCGACTCAGTTCTGCTATAGGACCAGCCCGGTCCGGCATAGTCTTAGGCTTGAAGCCATGGATCTGCTTCACAGCCATGTTTCGTTGCGACTTGGTGTGCTTTGTTACGTCATCGGTCCAAATTTCAAGGTCATGCGCATGCGCGTCAGTCTGCCTCGATTGGAATATATCAGAACAGAAACGTTGGATCTTCTGAATAAATGCGGCTAGCAACAAAATGTGATCAGCCCCTTTCCATGCTATATAGGGATTAACGTTAATTGTTCCAGAGATGGCAGGTGAAGAGAGACTGTCGTCATCGCCACTGACTTCGGCCATCCCTGTGGCAGGGCCCGCGTCCGTGTCTGTGCCTGTGTCTCTCGTATGATGCAATCACGGCATCACCTCCGCTGATTACGTGTCCCCTGTCGCCACTGACGGCACCGCAACCGCTATGGGTGTCATCGTACGGGATCGGACCCGCTGGCCCGCGCTGCATGCCACCGCCGCACACCCCGGCCGTGGAGCGTGTCTCGCGTGACCGCGCTGGTCTGAGCGGTCTGTCGAGCGGCCGACGCCGCGCCTCCGCTGTAGGCCGCGGCCGGGACGCCTCGCCCTGGCCGAGGTGTCCGACGCTGCGCGGCGTTTATCTGGTGTCTGTCCGGCCTTCGGCATGCCGACCGCGCGCGTCGGGAGGGCACAGCGAGCGGCCGCAGCGGCGCGGGCGCGGCGCGCGCGTTCCGGCCGGAGTCCGTCGCGTTGAATTGCCAGGGAATGTCGGCCGTGGTCTGGGTGTGTCAGTGCGGCGTGCCAAGCGGACGGCGTTCTCTCACCCCTCGCCGCCTCACCGACCGGCAGCTCCGCCTCCAGGGTCCCTCCTCGCCTCCAGCAGCCTCTGCTGCAGCTCTGGGCGTGCACGTCCTGTATACGCGCGTACCGCTTCAGTGTTCGAGGACTCAGTCCGCACGTCGCCGCCGGTCTGCAGGGGGGGGGGGGGGGGGGAGGAGGGGGAGGGGGCTGTCCGTCCATCTGTCCGAGTTGTTTGCGCCGCCGTGGCACGAGCGGTGATGCGGTATCGCTGCCGCGGCGAGACGCCGGTCGGATTGCTCGACTTGACAGGGCGTCTGCCGGCGGCGCGCCCGGCCGTCCGCGGCGCGGCCCGTACCGCCGCAGGCCGGCCGGCCCGGCCGCGCGCCGGCTCCACCGGCGGCACGAGTGCGGGTTGACGGCCGGCCAGGGTCGTCCTGTGTCGCCGCCGCCGCCGCCGCCGCAGTCTCGGCGCCGGCCGCGCACTTGGAGCTGCGGCGCCACCGACAGCTCTGTGGAATGTTTGTGCGGAGGCGCCCGGTGGTATGTGAATGGAGCTAGGGGGTGTGTCCGGTTCGTGCCGTTCGTAAATAGCAGTGAGAGGAGCGGGTAGGTGCTGGGGGGGGGGGGGGGGGGCATTGTGCCGGTCTGTTGCTGCGAACTGACGCGTGTTGGGTTATTGCATTGCAGAGGCGGCTTGTTGTTAATGAGAACAGATTTGAACGTCGGGCGCCGCCGCGTCTCGCCAAAGATAATCGTAAGGCTAGTCCGTTAACTGGTCTGCCTTCCTGCTGGGCCTCGAACGTCCGTGGTTTTCTGCTCCACGTACCGCGGCCAGCGCGAGGCGGGCTGTCCGTGGCCGAGCCCACGCCCGCTGACTCAGCACGCTCGTCTGTCGTGCCCGTACGGACGGCTTACCGGTGGTCTAGCCGCTTCCCCCCCCCCCCCCCGCCCCGTCTGCCGTCCCAGCAGCCCTGCCAGGTATTCCCCGTCCCCTGGGGTGGGTGCGGCCCGTCGGCGTGGGCGTCTGGACCGGCGCGCGGTGACTCATGACTGAGCTTCGTGGCGGACACCCGGCCGCGTCGCGTGTCCACCGGGCTCCGCGCGCCGTCGTGGGCGTGACCGCACGCTAAGTCGTCCAGTGAGGCCCACTTAAGGATGAAGCACGTGACTGAGCTTGGCGCGCCGCGGCGTGCGCCGGCGCTGCCGCGTGCGGTCCCCGTCTGCTCGACCGTCCCGCGAATGTTTTCTTTGTGTCGGTGGCTGAGAGCGGTGCGAGCAACAGGCGGTCGGCTTTGCGACGAGGCTGACCGGCGCGCTGGCGACAGTGGAAGACCAGCCGTGATGGGCAGCACGCATTTTCTCTGTGCGTCTCTCTGGACCGTGAAGAACCTCCGCGCGCGATGAATAAACCATGATGTGAATAGTGATCGGACGGGCTATCGCTGAGAGACGTCCGGTGCACGGTGACGCTACAGTGCAGATCCCGAGCCTGGATCTGTAGGACGGGAGCTTCCTTGCTGTCTCTCCAGTGTGCGGGAGCGAGGGACGCCCCCCCCCCCCATGAAGGCTTGTATCATCCTGTCTTCCTTGGTGCCGGAGTATTTGGCCTACTGTTCCTGAGGTCATGGAAAGTGAAAGGTGGCGTGATGTGGCCCAGCGCGCTTTAGTGGACGATAACTCTGAATCACCCATGCAAGCTCGTAACCGCACACGCGAGCTCTTAATGACGCCACCCGCTCCTCTGCGGCGGGCCCCGAATGGCTCCGGGCCCCAGGGATGTACCTGGTGAGCGACGACCCGTCAGGTCTACTGCACCGGTCTGGGTGATGCCGTGGACATTTGGGACTTTGGACATCACCTGGGATCGGGTCAAGATGTGGCGATGAGGAGGCAGCGACCCGGGCTAACGTCCAGGGTCACTGCGGGGTCGCGCCACCTCTGGTCGGGCGGCATCCGCTACCCAGGAGCCATTGGTGAAGGGGCTGACTCAACTCGAGTTCAAACTTCTGTCAAAGAGCACACAGACGTTAGCTGCGATGGCATGACCAGAATGCCGTGCTCATGTGTCGTAGATGTGACTAAGAGCGTACTGTGCTGGTTTATCAGCCTCGAAGTGATTGCTCAGTTGACTCAGACGGCGTCTCTCAGAGGGTAGCGTGCCTCAGCCATACCGTGTAGCAGGTGCCGGTGTTGGGATGAGGGGCTCACAAGCCACATCGTATGCAGGGAGCCTTTGTTCTAGTTGTCAAACCGCTGCTGTTGGGGCACACCATACACGGTACAATCTCAGTCGTGTTGTCAGGTGACTAGGCTGCCTTGGTTGGCTGTGATGGACGTGAGCCGTGCGCTGTCCGTTTCCCTCAGGCTGAACGTCTCCACACCCACCCGTCCAAACCGTGACGTGTCTTGTCGCCACCACTCTCCTGCTTTGTGACCCCGCTCGGCATGCGTTGCCCGCGGCGTCACACCTCCCCTGCCCCGCCCCGTCGCCTCGGTGCCGTGGCTTTGTAGCGCGGTTTCCGTCGCCGACATTGTCTCAGCGCCGACGTCGGCGGCGCAGCTGTGACGGCCGCCCAGGCGCGGGCCGTGTGTGACGCTCTCGTCGGCGGGCGACGACCAGCGGCGCGTGCCACACCTGGCGCGAGCCGGGGTTGCGCAGCTCTCCGGCGGACGCGGCAGACCCGTGCCGCGCCGGTTATTGCGGAGAGGTGGTGACGAATGCGTGGCGCAGTTTGGCGACGGACGCGACAGACCCGTACCGCGCCGGTTGTTGCGGAGAGGTGGTGACGAATGCGTGGCGCAGGTTAGCGGCGGACGCGGCAGACCCGTACCGCGCCGGTCGTTGCGGAGAGGTGGTGACGAATGCGTGGCGCAGTTTAGCGGCGGACGCGAATCAGCGCGCCTGTCATCTGTTTGCTATAAAGCTTGTGTGTGGGGGGGGGGAGGGAGGGGGGGAGGAACACGAGTCGGAGCTGCCGTGAAACGACCGTCGGGCCGTCTCTCGTCGACCTATGACGGGATGCAGTTCAGCTCTGCTTCGGTGTGCGAGTTTTTTGTTGGGCCCAGCCCCGTACATTTCGGACGTGGTGGTGCTGACGCCGGCGTGTCTGCCGCTGACGATCGCGGCTTCCAGTCAAGTGTCGATTGATATTGGTAACCCGCAATTGGTTTCGCCAGCTGGCTTTACCTTTCCCGTCCCGAGCGGACCTTTGCGTGAAGAACAGCTGGCGAACCTGGTCCCTCATCTCGCAGATAAGGGCGTCCGCGGCAATGCTTAAGTGATATCTGAATCGTGCCTATGGCGACTGGCGTCTCGATGTGCGTCATTGTATCGATCCGCACGGTTTCGCCGTCCGGTGGAGGCGCAGGTCGATCCGCGTGTCATTGCGAGGCCAAGCTCTGCGGTGTACCGCAACTGAATACGCAAACCACCGCAGACGCCAATCTTCCGACGGTCGCGTCACGGCTGCGCCTTGCCCCCCCCCCCCCTCCCCCCAACCGTCCGAGCGTCCGGCGTAATGTACCGCGGAGCGGCGGGTGTCGCGATGGCGATGCGCGCCGTGCAAGCGTACTCCGCTGCTGTTCGCCGGTCCGGCTGTGAATGCACTGCAGGCGGCTGTTCGCGGTGAGTGTGCGGTTTGAGAGCAGCCGGCGACCGCCACCGCCGCCGGCGACCAAGATTGCTGGCGTCCCGCCGCGCGATATCGTATCTTATCCAAGCGCCGGGAGGCGGGGGGAGCGGGTGCCCCGCGATTCGGGGGTCATCTCACCGCCGGCGCCGCGCTAGTGGCTGTGACGCGGACTGAGTCAGCGGGGAGGGAGACGCCTGGCTGGGTGACCACCTGGCGAACCGGAGCCGTCGGCCTTGTCCGGCTGCTGTGCTGGCCGTGCCTCGCTTCACCTCCGCGTGCGGCCCTCTGCTGAGCGCCTACGGCCGATAAGAGGCGGATGGCGTTAAGCCACTGTAACCAACTGGTCCACGCCGGCGTGGCGCGTGGCAGGGAGAGCGACGGCTGCAGTCAGGGATTGCCTACGACCGGCAAATGACCTCTGCATGGTCATTCGTGAAAACAAATTTAAATTCCCCTGCCCTTCCCTAATGCGCATGCAATTCCCTGCTGTTTGCGCAGGCACGTTTGTGATGACGCATGCAGTTGCAGTGGGCAGGTACTCGTACTCATTGGCTAAACGACATGATAGGCCTGGCTGATACTAAAGTAGGGCATTTGCGGAGTCGGTCCACTGGAGGCAGGCGGTGGGTTCAGCGCGCCCCCTCCTGGCCCAGTGCCAGCAGGCCGAGAGGGAGGGTTAGGCTTGCGCCGACTTGTTGAATCATGTCCAGACGTGTCGCGGCCAGCCACCTGCAGTGGGAGCCGATACAGTGGCGCACGTCGCGCGCGTCAGCAGGCGGGCCTCGACACCAGCGGCTGGACGCGACACGGCGCCGTGCCCCGAGCCGGCGGCGCGCTGAGCCGCCACTCCCGGCGGCGGAGCGTGCGCTGGCCGGAGCGGAACGGCGGCTGCACCACCACCTGCGAGTGGTGATCTGCGCTGTGTAGCCGCGAGCCGCCTCGAAATCGTCGACTGATGGCCCGTGTTGCGGTCGTCTGTCGGCGGACGGCGGCCGCCCGAGGTCGTCACCACCTGGGAGCTGGTGTTTGGCGGACGTTTCCTGGCGGCCGCCGCCGGTTGCCTTGACTCCCCTCCCCTCCCCTCCCCCGCTGGCGTCCAGTGGACCCGTTCCAGCACCCAGCGGCGGACGTTTTTGCGTCGACATTGAACGGCCCCGCTACGCGCCGTTTTTGCGGCGGGGGAGGGGCTGTCGCTCAACCGCGCTGGCCCAAGGAGCACGTATGCGGTATGCAATGTCCGCCCGCCATGCCGTCGGGCCGGGATCGCTCACGGCGCCATGCTAGCGGAGGGGGGGGGGGGGGGCAGGACACCACGTCCGGCTGCCGCTGGTGGCCCAGACCGTGGCCCGCTCACCCAGCAGAGCAGTGCCGGCACGCGGGCGTCTCCGCCGCCCGCCGCCCGCCGCCGGCAGCGAGCGTTAGCTGCCCGGCGCGCGGCGCGGGCGTGACTCATGGCGCCGGCCGGAGCGTGGCCGGACCGCCGCTGGTCGTGTGCCACCGGGCTGGGCGGGCGCAGTTGGAGCCGGCGCGCTGTGAGGTGCACCGCGCCGACCCGTGCTGGCTGGGGGCGATCGGCTGGATCTGTCGCCGGCAGGTGAGAGCTCTGGTGTCAGGAGATGGGGAGTTTGAGCCGCTGCCGAGGAATGCCGCATGGGGTGCGTGCCCTTCGGGCTCGCCAGCGATGAGCGTGGCAAATCAGCCGTTTCCGCCCGGGCCTGGCCGTGGTTTTGGAAGTCCCCGTGCTGACGCATGGCCCGACGGCTATGTTTGGACGCCGTGGCCTGGGCGGACGAAGGATTTGGACCACGGTCCTCACACGGAGAACGGGATGGGAGTCCCGCCTTTGCCATGGACTCGGGGCGCTGCGTTTCGTTTTGCATTGGCCATGGAGGTTCGGCGTGCTGCGCCGACGCGCCGGTCAGGCCGGATGAGACTCCGCCTTTGGTTTGGAGCGCCGCGCCGGTCGGTCGCCCCATTCCGGACAGCTGTGAGCCGGCGTGGCGTCCCGGCAAGCCATCGCTTGGTGCCTCCCCGGTCTCCTGGCCCCGATGAGGCAGCCAGCGAGGCCGCGCGTGCGAGACGCACGTGAGAGGACCCCTGCCGAGGGAGCGCGGCGCGCACCGCGGTCTGGGGCCGCGACGGTCGCGGACGCGGTGAGGTTCGCCTGGTACCGATCGTCGGCCGGACGCGCTCGCACGGCCAGCGTGAGGCGGTGTGTTAGGTGGTGTTGGGTCGGACGCCCAGGGCGCTGAGCGTTGATTACGGTGTTGTTGGACGGATATTGATTATCAATCAAAGAGGCAGGCTTGTCAGACGCTCTCTGAGTTCAGGAGTTCAAGTGCCTCACGAGCGTCGGCGGCGCGCCAGATAACGATAAGAAATGAAAACCTCGAGGAAAATGGCCTGCAACGGCTTCACCCGAGTGTCATCACACTATGTATACGACAGTCCGTTCTTAAGAATGTTTTGTCATTGTTTTGGTCATTGTTTGATCCACTGCATTTTTATGTGGCGCCAATGGTTAGCGTCGCTTGGTATTGGATTACCAGAGGTATTTCACACAACAGCGGAGAGAGCTGTACCGTATAAGCTTGCTGGAATACTAGCTATTCAGCTGGCTGGTCAGACACAGGTAATCTGGCATTATCAAATCGAATTGATTGCCAGGTTGTAGTTACGGCTGTCGGGGGACCTGCACTCATGGTCTATGAAGAGTGGGCGTGACCGCCCTCCTCGTCGCCGTCGCCGTGTCTGACTGCCCTCCTCACTGTCGTCACCCTGTCTGACCGCCCTCCTCGTTGCCTGTCGCCCTGTCTGACCGCCGTCCTCGCTGCTGTCGCCCTGTCTGACCACCCTCCTCACTGCAGGCTCCGCGCACCGTCGCCATGGAGGAGCGACAGAAGCGAGCCCTGACTCGCGCCCGCTCCAAGCTGCTCAAAGACCTGGACGTGGCCGACGTGCTGGACCACCTGCTCTCCAAGGAGATTATTCACCACGATGACTATGACGTCATTAAGGCTAAGGTGTGCTCGCGGCCCACGGCGGCCACCGCGTCGGCCGACACACGTGCGGAGGTTGGACGGCATCTTGTGCGGTTGGCAGTCCAGAGCGGATGTGGAGGTGGTGTGCGAGGAGGACGTAGCAGTATGGGTCGCGAGAGCGGAGGGGGGGGGGGGGAGGGGTTGGACGAATCCTGTGGAGATGGAAACACCGGTCACATGGAGATCGTGGCGGGCCAGCATTGATGGCCGACTGATGGCTCAGGCTCGCGGCGTTAAAGTAGTTGGGTTGTGCTGGTCGTGGGAAGCGTGGGCACTGTGAGCTATGATGCTGGCCATGCCCTGTCCAGTTGTGACTTGTTATTTTGCCTCGCTGTCTTTTGTGATTTTGAGAAGGTGCGACGTGGTAGCAGCGGCAGCAGCAGCACTGGCACTGTGCACCGTCATTACCCATGGCCTTGGGACTCCGCTGCCCCTCCCCCTCCCCCCTCGCTACGAATTTACCACAACGCTTCCCCCATTCGATGTCCTCAGCGTGCTGGTCGCTAGGGTCGTGGTTGTTGGGACGCGCTGTGGAAGCCCTGACTCTGCTGCCACCCCTGATCGACCGCGCTGCACCTTCGTCCACTGCCTGTCGCGCCCGCCTTGCTCGCCGCTCACGCCTCCGCTCCGCCGGCAGGAGACGCGCAAGGAGCGAGTGGCGGCGCTGCTGACGCTGCTGCCGCAGCGCGGACCGCAGGCATTCGAGGAGCTGGTGGAGGGGCTGCGGCCCAACAACTCCTGGCTGGCCGACGAGCTCGAGTCGCAGCTGAACGAGCTCAACGACTCGTCGTCGACGTCGGCGGCCGACGAGCTGAATAACGTGATGCGCGCCGGCGCCGTGCCCACCCTGCCGGCCTTCCATGTCCCGCGGCAAGTCTACACGGAGGCGGTGCGCGCCGAGCTGCGCGAGCTCAAGGAGGGCCGCTTCCTGGCCGTGCACGGCATGGCCGGCATCGGCAAGTCGGTGTGCGTCAATCACGCGCTGCGAGACGCCGAGTTGGTGTTCAGCCATTTCCCGGGCGGCGTGTTCTGGGTGAGCGTCGGTCAGGCCGACACGGACGTGCTCATCAACAAGGTGCAGGCGCTGTGCGAGCGGTTGTCGGATGACCAGGCCACGGCGCTGCTGCCGCCCACCATCGAGATCGCCGTGGAGAAGCTGCGCAAGCTGCTCAACCAGCCGGCACTGCGCAACTGCCTGCTGGTGCTGGACGACGTCTGGAAGCCGGACGTGCTGGCCGTGTTCGACCTGGGCGCGAGCGTGCTGGTGACCACGCGCGACGCCGCGCTCGTGGAGCGGTTCGAGGGTCGCGCCGCCATGGTGCAGGTGAGGGCGCGACGTCGCGCGCGGTGGGCGTCCGGCTTGTGCCGTCGCACCGTGCCGCGTGTTGTGCTTAGCGGGGCGGTTGGGGCGGGCTGGGGTGTCGTTGTGGCCGTCTTTTCGCGGGTTGGTCGTCGCGTTTCGCTGTGATGTTAGAGGACCGGTTGCTCTGTATAAGGTCGTGGCATAAGGTCTGTATAAGGTCCCTTGTGGGGCGTCAGCTGAGTACCGAACCTCGCGCTTTGATACTGATGCCGACGCCGAGCGCTTGGCCAGTTCGAACCGAACAGACGGCGCCTCCGCCAGACCGGAACAGCGCGAATCCGTGGAGCCGGCGCACTGCCGGCCCCGGCTGTATGCCGCCGCCGCTGCCCGACAGATGAAGGACGGTTTCAGCCTAGCCGAGTCGCAGGAGCTGTTTGCCAAGCGTCTGGGCATCCCGAAGCAAGACCTGCCTCGCGAGGCGACCGACATCCACCGGCGCTGCGGCGGCGTGCCCATGGTGATCGCCCTGCTGTGCTCGTACCTGGCGGGCAAGCGGCGACACCGCGAATCGCGCGACCGCTGGCAGAAGTGCCTCGATAACCTGAGGTCGGCCAACTACGAGTGAGTGGCACCGGGGACGGGGGCGGCGGCTGTCCGTCCGCACCCGCCGGCCGTGGCTGCAAGGCTGCCGCGAGCTTCTGACGAACTCTTGACTGGGGCGTCTCCTCTGCAGAGTGCTTCTTGACGAGGGAGCGTTTGCGCTTGAGATGTTTTTGAAAATGATCCTTTTGATCTTTTTTTGTAGGAATATGACAAACTTCAGATAATGGATGAGCTACCCAGGCGTGCCGATGGTGTGGGTTTAACGCATCTGATGTAATGGTTAAGGCATGTGCGTTGACTGTTGCGCGTCTGGGAAACTAGGGGACCGGAGTTCGACTCCCCGCGGTGCCCGCACTTCCTGCCAAGGTGAGGGGTGGGCGGTGCCATATGGCCTCAGCAGCTGGGTGCGTCGTAAAGCCCAATGACACACACACACACACCACGCACGCACGCACGCACGCACGCAGCACGCACGCACGCACGCACGCACGCACGCACGCACGCACGCACGCACGCACGCACGCACGCACGCACGCACACACACACACACACACACACACACACACACACACACACACACACACACACACACACACACACACACACACACAGGTGGTGCATATAAGACGCTGTCATGATGATACTATTTGAATTATAGCATCCCAACTGAAACGTTGCTTTAACTTAGGCTAGTTATTTTCAAAAATGATAATGCGGAGAGGTGAGTCTCGCCACTGGACCGGACGCGGCCGCCGCCTTCTCAGGAAGCTGCGGATGCAGTCCAGCGCGCACGAGAACGTCACCGACGCCATCGAGCTGAGCGTCAACAGTCTGGACGACGAGCACGCCGAGTATTTCCGCCGCCTAGCCGTGTTCGGGGCCGACATCAACATTCCCCGCCAGGTGAGCAGGACGCGCCGCCGCTCACTGCGAGAGGGTAAGTGAAGCGCTGGGACGGGGATGGTCGGTGTTCGGGGCCGACATCAACATTCCCCGCCAGATGAGCAGGACGCGCCGCCGCTCACTGCGAGAGGGTAAGCGAAGCGCTGAAGACGGGGATGGTCGGCGTCGGCTCTGTGGAGTTGGAGCGGGCGGTCTGTCCTGGAACACTCTTGCGGAACTTAGAATCGCCGTTTGCGTGCGAGTGCGAGCCAGTTTTCGTGGCTGGGTTTTAGTCGCCCGCGCAGGGCAAGTAGGTAACGAAACAGAACGGCGCACGTTCCGTGCTCTGCTGCTTGTGACGCAGTACAAGAAGGCCATTGCCCGTTTCATGGGCTGCTGCACTGCCGGCCCCACTGACCCACACATGCAACATTACCTTCTGGCCACACATGTAACATGGTCTCCCGTGTTGGCCGTAACCTACTTTGTTTAGCTGTTTCATTCAGCGGCACGTACGTTTAATCAGCTGTGGGATAGTTAGCGCTATTTTGCATTGGCTTCCCTGCTTGCAGGTGCTGTGCACCTACTGGAAAATGACCGCCGACGACGTGGATGACTGCATGCTGTACCTGGTCAAGAAGTCACTGGTCCAGGAGATGGAGGACTCAAAACTCGACACAGTGTCATACAGCATGCATGACCTTGTCATCGACTACATGACCAAAAAGTACACGCCGGATGAGGTGAGTCACACGCAAAAATGTTGCGAATCGAAGTACTGTCTGCAATGCGTAGCTTTCCTTAAACACCCATGATTGCGTAATAGCTTCCTTACGCCCAAACGTGGCGCGGGCTGTTCGGTGGCGGCGCGCCGGCATAAACCGACATGCTGTCGAATCTGGACCTGGCGTGCAATCAGTGTCCTCAAGGGACGTCTCCAAACGCGGATCGTCCCCGTCGCTGATTCACCAGCCACTCTCTGTGTGCGCCCATGTCGCGCCGTGAGCGCGCCGGCCCTGACTGGAGACCGGTCGGCCGCGCTCTCTCCCCCAGAAGCGGGAGCTGCACGCCCTGCTGCTGGACCGCTACCTGGAGGCGTGCGGCGGCGACTACGGCCGGCTGCCCGACGATGAGTACATCCTCTGGTTCATCGGCCACCACGTGCACGGAGCCGGCCGCTACGAGCTCTTCCCGAGCCTCTACTTCAGCCTGGCGTTCGTGGGCAACAAGCTGCGTGCGACTGGACCGAGCGACCTGCTCAACGACTACCGGAAGTACGCCGCCTTCCTGGACCAGGTGAGCGCGCGCGGGTGGGTCGTGCGGCCGCCCGTCGGTCGGCGTGCCTGAGAGTGCGGGGACGCTCGCTGCGGCGCGGTGTGAGACGGTGTCTGCGCGGACAGCCGGGCGTCACGTACTGGTTGACGTGTCGCGCGGCTGTGGCTTTTGGCGTTTCTTCCGACTGCCGTGCGCCGTCCAGTTGTGGACTTCGCGTCCTGTCGCCGCCCTGCGTAACCGTGACCATCACTTGGGATGCCGTTGTCCCGAAGGCTGTTGCACCATCTCCTTTGCCTGACTGCCTCCTCCTCCCCCACCCTCAGGGCGGGAAAGACTCACGACGGCGCGACTTTGAGAACTTCGTGCGCACGGCCGGACACCGGCTGCCGGCGCTGCCGCTGCCGCCCAGCGCCGTCCGCGACCCCAGCGCAGCCGTGGTGCAGCTGGCGCTTTGCGAGCGCGACGTCTCGGCCGTCTACGAAGCCGCCAGCAGGGTGGCGCGGACAGCCGGCGACCAGCTCTTCTTCCGGTGGTGGTGAGTTGGGCGGCGGGCGACGCTCCCCGCTCCTGGGGTGCTGCGTAGTCCGGGCCCTGGCGGCCCCTAGCAAAGCCTGTGCGACAGCGGGAGCTGGAACTGACCTTGTGCTTGCGCCCAGCCTTTCATTGTGTCACCCCGGTGTGCAAAAGTGTGGTCTGAGACATAGACAATGTGCGTTCCTCGATGCCGGTGCTCTTGCGTTTCAGCAATAAGGAGGCGATGCGCTGGTCCCACGTGCTGCTGACCAAGGTGTTCTCGGGTCCGGTCTGCGACGTCGTGTTCACGCTGGCTCAGGACAACCTGGCGCTGACGGCCTACGGCGACGGTCACATCAAGGTCAGTCGGCGGACGGGCGCCGCCTGCTGGGCGTTAGCTGACCGCCGCCATCGCCGTCCTGCGCCGCGAGCCCGGCCACTGACTGGCTGTGGTCGTATTGGCGACAGATGAGCGTTCTGGACTGGTGTGCGCGATGTCAGTTTTTGTTTGTCTTCGATATACGTTTCATAGTGTGTCGCATCGTGTGCAAAACGACGAAATGAAGTGCCAATTAGCGGGGACAAAAAGGCGGGGACGCGCCGAGCAGCCGCCTTTGGCGGCCTGGGCGCGAGTGGCAAGTTCGATCGAGGCACCGTCCACCGGTCGCCTCCGTGACCTTCGTGACCCTCGTGCCCGCCGGCCAGCTGTGGAACGTGGTGACGGGGGACGAGCACCCGTCGTTCTACGGCCACACGGAGCGCGTGCAGCAGCTGACTGTCAGTCCGGACGGCTCGCGGTTCGTCTCGGCCAGCGACGACCAGACGCTCAAGATCTGGGACCTGGAGGCGGCCGTGCGTGCCGCGTACGGTACTGACGAGCACGACGGTATGCGGTGGCGGTGGCGTCCGGGCCGGCACTGACAAGGCATGCGGCTTGGGCGCGGGCGGGGGCGGGCAGAGCGGTGGGGTGCAGTCGCTGGGGGAGAGAGGAAGGGGTTTGAGAGGAAGGCACCGACCGAGTGGTTGGTTGAGGTGGTTTTGGTATTCGGGGTGGTAGGGGATACGGCATGGTGCGTGACGGTGGCATGCTTGAGTGGCACTAACGGCACGGTACCTCCATGTTGTGCTCACGGCATACGGTTTGCGGTGACGGCACCACCATGACCTGACCAGCACAACACAACTACGTCAGCGTAACCCACACCGTGTTTCGCGAGTACGCGGATGCTCCGGCTCCATGCGCCGTCTGTGATGTCTGACGCCTGCGGCGACGCGTGACACGCGCACGTGGGCACTGCTTGGAGCGAGCGGCGTTGTCCTCGCCGCCGCTTGCGCCGCCATGTGTGACGTGGCAGCCTCTCCACGTTGCACGGATGGCATTCAATCCGCCTGCACGACACGCCGCCACGCGCCGCGGGAGCTGCGTACAGCGACGACGCCGGCCGGGGTGGCGCGCCGACGCCCCGGCCGGCCGGCGCCCGCTCGCCCGGCGCCCCGGCCGTGCCCGCTGACCCGGCGCCCGGCGCCCGCAGTGTCCTCCGGCCAGCGGTCGCCGTCGCCGCGCGTGCGTCCCTCGTCGGGCGCGTTCCTGTTCCCGGAGGCAGCGCCGCGCGACGACAGCCTGCTGACGCTGCGCGGCCACCGGGCGGCCGTGCTGTGCGTCGACTGGTCGCCCGACGGCGCCCACCTGCTCTCCGGCGACGTCGAGGGCACGTTCAAGGTGATCGGCGGGGGCGGTGCTGCTGCCGCGGCAGCGGCCGGCCAGCGCGCTCAGGCGTCCCGGCCGGCGCCGGCGGCGAGGGCGGCTGGTGCTAATCCGGTGGCGGCAGATGCGGGGATGCTGGTAGGAGGTGCACTTTGGTATCGCCTGTGCTAGTGCTCTGAGGTGATATGCGGTACCAAGGGCCGGAACAAAAAGGAGCGGCTTGCCCCGATAAAGGGTCGACATTTTGCTGTCTATTTGCTTCCCCACTGCAAGCGAGACCACGGACCGAGCGAACCCCTGTGGAACGCTGACGTCATGCCGACCGTAGCGGACCGGGTCGGTCACAGCTGTCACTATTTCGCTGGTCCTACACCGTGCTGGACGCCTCACTGGTGCTGCAGAGTCTGAGGCACCCACTTCCAATAACGGGCACGGGGTGTCTGCTGGGGATGGTTATGTAAAGCATCAAGGTTTTTTCGCGTTGACATTTTAATGGTAACAATGACACTATATGCACGTAACAACGGTATAGGTCACACCTGCAATTTGCAAGAAGATGCTTGTTTACAGACAGTATATCACAAATAGCGTTAACACATTGTCATGGCTCACTCGATTGAAATGCGTTTGTGTTGGTGGTCTTCCGCTCACGTAAACGTTTACTGTTGTCCCAAATGGCGCAGCGGGCGTCGCGCCCTCACAGACCACTTGTCAGACAATCCTTGTAGCCATGTGTTACACCGAGAAGCTGCTGTTGCGACATCGCGTGTGCCGCGCCCGCCTGCCAGTGCTCACCGGCACCGGCCGCCGCTCCCCACAGCTGTGGGACGTCCTGGGAGGTCCGCTGTTCGAGAAGGAGAAGGCTCACAACGGCCACATCACGTGCTGCACCTTCTCGCCGGACAGCACCTACTTCGCCACGGGCGCCGCCGACGGCCGCGTCCGGCTGTGGAGCACGCGCGACGCCTCCCTGCTGTACACCTTCAGCCAGCACCACCTGCGGGTCATCTCGCTCAGCCTGAGTAAAGGTGAGGCGTGTGGCCCACCGGACGAGGGGAGCGGTTTTGGGTGGGCTTGTCATGGTCCGTCGCTGTTGTGGCCAGCTGCTCTCGCGTGTTGTAGGCAGCGGTAGTCCAGTCGGGCTTCAGATGAGGCGTTGTGCTGTAGCGGACGGCATGATCGGGCCTCTTACAAACATCAGACGGCACGGTCTTCCCGAGTCGCAGATGACACCAACGCTGCAGACACCGCCTGTGTCAGGCAGCTGCCAGACAGCACCTCACCTGTCCCGGTCGCCCCCCGGCGCTGCAGACACCATCTGTGTCAGGCAGCTTCCAGACAGCACCTCACCGGTGTCCCGGCCGCCCGCCGGCGCTGCTGACGCCACCTGTGTCAGGCAGCTGCCAGACAGCGTCTGACCGGTGTCCCGGCCGCCCGCCGACGTTGCAGACAACAACTCGATCGTCTCTGTGGCTGATAACGAGATCTTCTGCTGGGTGTGGGACACGAGCCGGCGGCCGAGTCGCGACTACGTGGAAGTCAAGATGCAGGCGCCGAACGAGCACGACCTGTACCTGTGCTCGCGCCTCAGCCGCGACCAGCGCCAGCTGGTGGTGGGCACCTCGTCCAACATGTACGAGACCTGGGACCTGTTGGAGCGGCGCGTCATCTCGACACAGCGCGGCTTCGCCGGGTGAGTCAGACGCCCGGCGTCGCTCGGTCGCCTGGGCTGGCCGGGCGGCGGCGGGCCGGGCAGGAGAGACTGGCTGTCGGTGGTCGGAACGCCTCGGGGAAATTAAAGTGGTTGCTGTCTGAGTACAGTATTTGTGCTTCACCAGGGACTGGTGTGTTAGTTTTTTGCGTCGTTTTGTGCATGTTGTGTCCCGCGTTAGGTCAGCGTGACGTAGCTACTGGTCAGGGACGTTATGAACTGCACATAGATGGTGTTTGATTTATGATCGTGTTGTCCGCTCTTGGGTCTGATCACATATGGTACAAAGTTCATGGCTTTGATGGAGGCTGATTCATGGAGACGGCTGGCCTGATGGCAGGGAATTTAGAACTGTCTTAAGCCTCTGCTTTCGAGTCTCTCAAAACCCTGACACAGGCGATGCTTGCCATGGCTTCTCTGGTGGTGTGGCGGCGCTCCCCGCTACAAACGCTTCGACTGGCTGTCCGGTGGCTGGCTCGCGTCCCCTCAGCTGACCGGCCGCCGGCGGCCACAGGTCGGTGACCTCACTGGTGTTCTCCCACGACGGCGAGCGGCTGCTGGCGGGCGCCGGCGACATGGTCACCTCGTGCAGCCTCACCAGGACGCCCAAGGTGGAGGACAGCCTGCAGCCGCTGTTCTCGGCGCGGTTCGCCTCGCCCGACCCGAGCTCGCTGGTCGTCGCCGCCATCACGTCCAACAACGGCGTCCAGGTGAGCCTGGCTCCCCCACCGCCGCCGCTGCCGCCGCCGCTTGCATGGCCGCCCCGGACGCATGTGCGCCGCTGACGCCGCCGCCGGCGACGGCGCGTCCGACGGGACAGTAATGAATAACAATGACGGAACATAACTGTCCGCTGCCCGAGCGAGCCGGCTGTGGGGTCCACTAACCGCCTGCGGGACGCGGCGGGGTCGGCCGGTGCGCCGGTGGGTGCAGTGGGCGGGCGTCCACTAACTGACCGCGACGAGAACGTGTGCCCAGAGGAGCAGTCCGGGCCCAGCAGCCGGGCCAGAGCTGGGGGCTCGCTCACCGCTTGGACCGGATAGGTGTGGTCTGGTGTAGAGCAGGAGACAAGACTCGGCTGCGCGCCGGAGGTTTGCGTTGTAAGTCGCTGCGGTGTAGAGGTAGTTCGTCAGAGGGTAGTTTGTTGTGGGGTCTGATCTAACCGTGTCATTTAGAGCAACTAGGTTTTGTTTAGTCCGGGCTGTGAGCGTGTGGATTTCTCAACGTTAGTGCTTGCAACGGCTGGAAGACGCTACAAGCACTCGGATCGGGTGCAGTCAGTATTGCCGATGAGTTTCGCAAGTCCTTATGTACCTAGAGCCTCTTGCCACGAGAACGGTACAGAAAGCATGCGGCACGGGGAGAGACCGCCGTTGTGGCGGCGTCCTTACGTGACTGCCGGAAGCTGGCGGTAACCGTAGCCGACAGCCGCGGGATGCGGTCGTGGCATGACCGCGGCCGAGCGGGACCGTGCCGCGGCGACGGCAGGAGTCGGCGCTTCGGCGCGATAGAGGGGTGACACTCGTGTCTTGCTGCCTGCCGGTCGGGTCGGGTTCTCTTGTCGCCTGCTACTGTCGGGTGATGCCGCGTGGGTGGACGGGGGTCGATGACCGGCCAGAGCGGACGGCAGACGCGGCGAGAGCCGACGCTGCTCAGGTGATCGTCGGTGTGGCCGTCGTTGTGACGTCGGCTCGGACCGAACGCGTCTGGCCCCGCTGCGACCCCCTGTCACGTGTTCTTCGGAACTGTCCGGCCGACGTGCGGTGGCCGTCTCCTGCTTGGTTTTGTCTGGCTGCTGTGCGGTGAGCACCCTCTCCTGCTTGGCCTGGGCGTCCTGCTGGTCTCCACCTGTGACTTGGGCGTGACGTTCGTGGCGCTGCGTGACTATTCGCCGTTCACGTCCTCGCGTGTGTTGCGCATAGGCGCAGCCAACGTACTTCGGCGTGCTGTGGTGGACCCCTTCTGTACGGATGCGTCCCTGAAGGACTTCAGCGGTATGAAAGCGTGCATGTATGACTTGTGCTGCGACTCGGCACGCTTAAGCTTCTTCAGTGCAAGGATGTCCATTCCCGCCAGCTGCTGTGAGGAAGCACTGCCTTGTGCCTGAGCCCCTTCCTCTCGTGGAAATCTTTGTCGTGAAGTGTCCTTCGATCGATGCTGTATTGAGACGTCCCGGCCGGGTTGGCGCGCGAGGAAAGCGTCCGCAGCCGATCTTGGCTGCACTTTAAGGGTTTTGTACAGCACTCGGTCCATTGGGGCGCCCCAGAACGATGTGCGCAGTACGAGGGCACCGTCACCGGCCGGCGTGTGCAGCTGCACGCCTTCCCGTGGCGACCTTTTCCGGGCCGAGGTGCTCTTCTGTGACTCGTGCTGCACAGCAGTGTCCTTGCGTGACACCTTTGGGACAAACTCACCCCTGTGCGGTCAAAATGGCGCCACTCAGACGCCCTTCATCACGCTCGCCTTCGGCGCATTTCTATAAAAGTGCATCCTTCGATTGACGCTTCACAATGTGTCGTGCTAACCTGGCGGTGCGGTGTGTGCGCCGCGCGCCGCCGACTTCACCCCGCGGTCTGTCCTCATGCGGCGTCCGTGTCGCCTGGTCCGCCTCCGCCGCCGTCCGGCAGTGAGCTTCGTCAGCCGTGACGCCCGCCTCTCGGTTGCAGGGCCAGTTGGACCGTGAGCTAATGGTACGTCCTGCCGGGCTGCACCGGGCCACGGGCTGGCCGATACCGCCCGGGCGGCGCGCCTCGGCGCCTGCCGCTCCCGCCCTCTCTGCCTCTCTCTCTGGCTCTCACTCTCTGTCTGTGGAGCTCGTGCGCTGCTCGGTGCGCCGCTAGCTCCGGCTGTGAGGCCGCCTCGTAGCTCGGATCACGCTCCTGTCGTTTTTACAGGGCTCGCGGAGAGTGTAGTTGTTGGCTGTTGCTAGGCGACGGCGGCGGCTGCGGCTTGCCGCCGCGTCCGACGTTGTGAGATAGGGCCTGAGGGCCTGGTAGGGCCTCAGCGATGCTGAGGTGGCATCACGGCATGTGCATGCTGTTCTTGTTGTTCTCTTCGCACGCTCTTGCACATTAGCACGGCCTCTTAGCTAGCTTCGACACTGCTCATTGGTATTGGTTTACTGCATGCATGTTAACCAGCTCCCCACTAAGAGCAGGACTTAGGGGCTGGTTGAATTTACTTTGCTACGTAGCCCGTATAAACGCAGTCAATTTCTTGCGCATGTATAAACCGATGATGCACTGCAAATTTGGCTACGTTGTTAAAAGTTGACAGCTGTGTATTTGCTTGCGATGCCATGGTTTCTTGGGATTAAAATTCGCGCCGAATTATGCAGTCCACGCTCAGTTTGGCTCCGCGCGCTGTCAGTTTGGTGGTCGGCTTCATGGCTGGTCTCTGATGCTCGTGTGATATCGTGATATCTGCGTTCTGTGTGCTGCGTTGCCGTCGCGGCATGGGCGCAGAACGACTCGTCTGTTGAGGAGCGTCGTCCGCTGATGCAGTGTTCCGCTGTTCCAGGTCCTCAGAGGACTCGATGGCACCATTGTGACCACGACGAAGCCCGTGGGGGAGAAGATCTGCATCACGGAGATCAACCAAGCCGGAACTATGGTGCGATTAGTGATCTCCGACCGGCATTTGTCTCTGCGCTTTACAAAGTCGAAATGTTGCGCGTGTCTTTTGTGCCCTTGTGCGGCACAGACATCAGGTACATGGCTTTCGATCAACCGACTTATCAGGCCGCTTTTGACTGAGGTTTAGTTGGTTCTGGGATCTTCGAGTGTTGAGTGAGTTCATTGGCCATGGTCGATGAAGAACTTTGAACAGTTCCCAACGAAGATTCATCGGTTAGAGCGGACGACATGGCTGCGAGCGAGTGTAGTGCATGAGGACGCTTACGATGCTCCAATATTTGCCGTCAGCATCTTCCACCCTACACCCGCCTTCCATGTCACGCCCGCCTCTCTTCTCCCAGACCCTCCCCCCCCCCCCCCCCCCCCCCCCAGCCGTCTCTCAGTCCTCTGCCGTGAGCAATCTCGCCGTCAGCTGCTGCCTCCCTGTCGCCCGCTCTCTCGGCGCTCACGGCCGCCGCGCGCCGGCAGGTGGCGTTCGGCTGCGAGGACGGCTCCGTAGGCGTGTACGAGATCGCGGTGGCGTCGGCGAGCCGCGCCGAGCCCAACATCCTCGGCAAGCACAGCCAGCGCGTCATCTCGCTGCAGTTCGGGCCGGACGGCGCCGTCGTCAGCGGCTCAGAGGACAGGAACATGAAGGTGAGCGGATCAGCGGACAGGAACATAAAGGTGAGCGGCTCAGAGGACAGGAACATGAAGGTGAGCGGCTCAGCGGACAGGAACATAAAGGTGAGCGGCTCAGAGGACAGGAACATGAAGGTGAGCGGCTCAGCGGACAGGAACATGAAGGTGAGCGGCTCAGAGGACAGGAACATGAAGGTGAGCGGCTCAGAGGACGGGAACATGAAGGCGAGCGGCTCAGAGGACAGGAACATGAAGGTGAGCGGATCAGCGGACAGGAACATGAAGGTGAGCGGCTCAGAGGACAGGAACATGAAGGTGAGCGGCTCAGAGGACGGGAACATGAAGGTGAGCGGCTCAGAGGACAGGAACATGAAGGTGAGCGGCTCAGAGGACGGGAACATGAAGGTGAGCGGCTCAGAGGACGGGAACATGAAGGTGAGCGGCTCAGAGGACAGGAACATGAAGGTGAGCGGCTCAGAGGACAGGAACATGAAGGTGAGCGGCTCAGAGGACGGGAACATGAAGGTGAGCGGCTCAGAGGACAGGAACATGAAGGTGAGCGGCTCAGAGGACGGGAACATGAAGGTGAGCGGCTCAGAGGACGGGAACATGAAGGTGAGCGGCTCAGAGGACAGGGAACATGAAGGTGAGCGGCTCAGAGGACGGGAACATGAAGGTGAGCGGCTCAGAGGACGGGAACATGAAGGTGAGCGGCTCAGAGGACGGGAACATGAAGGTGAGCGGCTCAGAGGACAGGAACATGAAGGTGAGCGGCTCAGAGGACAGGAACATAAGGTGAGCGGCTCAGAGGACAGGAACATGAAGGTGGGCGGCTCAGAGGACAGGAACATGAAGGTGGGGTGCCGCGCGACCGGCGGGACCTGGGACGATGGCGGCGCCGTCGCGCCTGGCGCGGGGCCGCTGCCGGTGGGGCGTGCCCCCGCCAGTCCGACGCGGTCCGGCGAGTCTGTCCTGCCCCGCGAGTCTGTTCTGCCTCGTGAGTCTCCGTTCTGCCCTCCCCCCCCCCCCCGGGTCCCTGTCGTCCCCCGCGAGTCCCTGTCCTGTCCAACGAGTTTCTGTTCTGCCCCCCCCCCCCCCCCCCAAGTCTATTCTGCTCAAGCAGGTCTGTTCTGCGCCAGGGAGACGCCAGCACGTGGTTGATGTCACGACTATTGTGCCGCTGGAAGTATGTCGATGTGCTGTGACTGGGTGAGGCGCAAGTGGGTATCCCCCACCTTCTCGCCTTTGTGAGTCCAGCGAGGGATGGCCCACAGCCGCCTCGTTGAAGTCTGTCTCCCTGTCGGCCTCCCGTGAACTGGCTGGGGCGCGCCCAGCTTCGTTCTGCCTCAGTCCTGTATTCGCCTTCTGCCGGCGTTGCACCTGCACGCCTCCGGTCGAAACTTGCGTGCGCTGGCTGTTCCCATGACCTCCCCCTCATTACCTACTGTAGTGTTGTAATAGTTTTCTCCTTCTTGCAACGCTTCGGCTGTTTTCACGTCCACGGGACGTATTATTTTCCAGGCACCCATGCACCTTCGATATCCACTGAAACACATGTTTTGCGAATGTAAAATGCCGGCAGCTGCCGTCACGTGTGGAAGCGCACATCGTAGGCTACGCACCAACGTCACGTGTATTCCGACCTCGCCGCTCGCCTCTGGCAGGTGTGGTGGCCCGACCGCACCAACGTCACGTGTATTCCGACCTCGCCGCTCGCCTCTGGCAGGTGTGGTGGCCCGACCGCACCAACGTCACGTGTATTCCGACCTCGCCGCTCGCCTCTGACAGGTGTGGTGGCCCGATCGCACCAACGTCACGTGTGTTCCGACCTCGCCGCTCGCCTCTGGCAGGTGTGGTGGCCCGACCGCACCAACGTCACGTGCAGCGGCAACGACGGCGCGGTGACCCAGGTGGGCCTGTACGACTCGAGCGAGGGCCTGCTCGCCGTGTCCTGCTCCCGCGACGGCACGCTGAAGGTAGGCAGACGGCGGCCGACGCCGGCGGCGGCGAGGGAGGGGCGGGGCGGGAGCGCCCAGGTGAGTGGGGTCGGCTGTGACGCGGCAGAGGCCCGAGAGTGGCGTGACGCGTCCGGGCGCCGCGGCGGCGACGTGACGTGCCCCCGTCCGCCGAATCTGTCGGAGCTGGCGTCGTGCGTCCGACGCAGGTAGCGTTGGTGGTGGCGGCTCAGCGTGTGTCCGGCTCTAACCCTGCCGATTCGGGTAGGCTCACCTCGCATGCTTGCTAACCTCACATGCTAACCTCGCATGCTTGCTAACCTCACAGCAGCCCGAGTGGCGGCTGCTCCCGAGGCGGCCGCGCCCGACTCGCGCCCGGGGCGCCGCGCTAGCCTGTACACGACCCGGCCTCGCGCGGTGCACCGTCTGCATGCCTCCGTGCCGCCCGCCTGGGACGGGCCCTGGCTGGCGCCGCGTCAGACCCAGCCCGTGGCATGCTGGCTGTGGTGGCCGCGCTAGCCTGTACCCGAGCCGGCCTCGCGCGGCGCACCGTCTGCATGCCGCCGTTGCCGCCCGCCTGGGACGGGCCCTGGCGGGCGCCTCGCCAGGCCCAGCCCGTGGCATGCTGGCTGCTGTGGCGGGGTGGCTCTGCGGCGGAGGATGATGCCGCAGTGTCTCTCTGCTTCAGGAGGACTCCGTGCATGGGTCCACCCGGCGCGCGAGGACTCGCGCTGCTCGTGCGGCCTTCTTCCGCGTTGATAACTTGATTGCGAAAGTGAGTGGGGCGTGGCGGGCCAGGGGTTCGGGCTTCAGGTCACCTCGCATGCTTGCGCGTTGACCCATGGTAGCTGATTTCACAGGTGGGAGCTTGTTCTTGTGTGGAGCTTCTGGATGTACTCTGGTTTAGCCTGGCCGTGTGGTGTCCTGGTGTTTCCTGGTTGAGCCTGTGGCCGTGTGTGTCCTGGTGTTTCCGAAATCGTGACCTACGTAGATCTGCTTAGTGTATTTTGTTCATGTTTTGTGTCTACGCCTAAATATCTGTGTGGGATTCAGCATATTGAAGCGCTATATTTGTTCTGGCTTTGTTTGTATGCCATTAACGAGATGTGCGTATATTGGTCTCCTCTTATGAATACGGGTGCTGGGCTGTAAAAATCGCGAATTTCAAACTGTATGGTTAAGGGAGTCCCTTTTTTCACAACATTCAGATTTCACCTTTTACGATCCGCTTGTGAAAAGTGGTTTGGGCCGTGCCGGTGCCATGCTGAACTGCCGTCAACCACGGCCGTACCCACCCCGCACACGCTCAGACTCCAGCAGTCCATCACCCGCTCCGAAAAGGGCTAACGCTTCTATCCCCAGCTTGGTTACGTGTGGCTTACTGCTGCTGCACGATCTAGTTCAAGTGGAAAAGACCGCTGTGGGCAACTTTAGTTGCTGTTTAGTAAATATGCTGCTCAACGCGACGTGCTTTCGTTACGTCATCGTGACGTCCATAATATTGCTTGAGGGCCAGCTGACGGCCGTTATATCTGGAAATCGCACTCACGAACGTCAGATATAAACGCATCAACAATGATATTTTTTGTCCTTGGTCGCCTCACGGCTTGCGGAATCGCAGGATTTTAATGACGCTTTTATGACGTCATGAATGCCAAGGTGACTCGAATACTCTCCACGATATACCTTTCTCTATTTTCGCGGGCGTGTAGCTCAGGAACTACAGGGGCTGAGGTCTTAAGAGGGACAGGATTGCGAATAGCACCGAAAGGTCTCCAAGGTGGCTATTTCGGTTCAAACCCCATATCAATGTGCAACACTCCCTTTAATGCAACGTTCGTGCGCTTGTAAGCCCTTTGCCCCTGTCGTGTGTTATTTCTGGTGTCGAACCAATCCTCTGGAAACGAGGAGCAGGGAACAAGGGCATCTTAAAGTCCAACATCTATGTGATATCGGTTTCCCCTGTTACCAACAACAATGAGCTCTGTCCCGAGCTCAAGCCAAATGTCATGATCACGGCCGCGAACAATTGTGTTGGTAACCACATTCTCGAAAGACGAAAGCTTAGATGGAAAACAGGAATACGCATGTCTATATCGGCGAAGACCACCGCCCTGCCGCAACAACGAACGTGGCAGGTGCTCCGCAGAGCCATTGGTGTAGCGCAGGGCGGCCTGGTTTGCCACACCTCCTCCGCGCGAGCACGTGCTCTGCCGCCTGCCCTGCCCACTGTATGACGGCGATGAGGCGGAGCCTGTGACGCCACCTCGGATCGACCTGGCGCGCCCCTCGCCGCCGCCGCCGCGGCGTCGGCGCTCCGTCCCGTGACGCGGCGCACGCCCCGCCGCCAGGTGTACCTGGCCGCCTCCGGGAAGCTGCTGTCTGCGCACGTGGCGCACTCGGGCTCGACGGTCACCTGCTACCGGATCGTGCGGCTGGCGGCGGCGGCGCGCGCCAACGGCACCAGCGGCCGCGGCGAGTCGCCCTGCCCGCCCGACCTCGTCGTGGTCACAGCAGGTCAGGCCGCCGGACTGGCGCAGACGGCCAGGAGGCAGGGCCATCGCATGTCGTCATTGCTCGTCGGAAAACCGCTACCTTTGCCTGTTTGTGGTTTTGCGGGGCTGGCGGTTTCGGGATCGGGGCGTGCTGTTGATGGGAGGACGGCAGTCCGGCACGGTAGCTAGCAGGCGCAGCTCACCGGGCGGCCTCGCGCGTGCAGTCGGACGCGGAACGCCCGGCAGCGCTGCGGCTTCGTCCCCCACACTGTTCAATGTTAAGTTCTCGGGCGGGTTAATCGCTGCAGCTAGCTGCCGCGGTCGGCAGCGTCGCCATGTTAGGTGAGAGTCGAGACGAGAGTAGATGTTTCCTTGGGAGGAATCGAACCCGGTATTCGTGATTCGATGTATGACGTGCTACGCATGGGACGGCTCTCGACCGCCTGCTGGTCACTGGACGCCTGCTGGCCGGCAGCCGTGGACGGCAAGGTGAAGATGACGCGGCTCTCGACGGGCGCCGTGGTCAAGTCGTTCACGCTGGACCAGGGCCCCGTGCGGACGTTCCAGCTCTCCGGGGACGGCTCGCTGCTGGTCACCGGCCATGACGACGGCGACGTGGTGGTGAGTGCGCCAAACAGAGCTGCCCTCCGCTGGCGGCAGGTGGATGATGTGCACCCCCCCCCCCCCCAAACGGTGGGGGAGGGGAGGGACGGGCGCCGGATCGCGTGCTCGTCGCCGCGCCGTGGCCGGATCTGCGCGTGCGCGACGAGTGCTAACGTCCGCCCGCCGCCGCAGGTGACGCGGACGGACATCCTGTGTCCGCCGCTGGTGCTGAAGCTGCACCAGAGCTGGGTGCACGACCTGGCCGTGTCGCCCGACGGTCGCACCATCGTCTCCGTCGGCGACTGCCTCGCCTGGTGGCGACTCTCCAACAAACGTGAGCCGCGCATAGGGCCGGGGCACGGCGCTGTGGCGACGGGGCTTCATGTGGCCGCATGCGGTGCACGCTGCTGCGGCTGCTGTCAGTGTTTATGAACGCGCCGCGCCCTGGCCTGACGTGTTGACTGAGGCGTAGATGTGTGGTGTCCTCGTGGAAGTCATATGATAATTGTTACGGATTTTCTGCCTCCCAAAACAAGGTGCACCAGCGATCACGTGGATTCGTCATAATTGTATTCCTGCTTCGGTTTGCGTCCTCGTTTTGCGGGTGACTGTCCCTGCGATGTGCCGGTCTCTGGCGCGTGACTGTTGGCCCTTGCGCTGCCCGTGACTGCTGTCCGGTCCCCGTCGCCGGGTATGCCGTGCGTGCCACGGCTCACACCTCACCTCGACCCTCCCCCCTTCCCCACAGAATGCACGCCTGAGCACGGCCGCCTGTCGGCACAGGCGCCGGGCTCGCCGCGCCTCCGGCCGCCGGAGAAGCAGTACTTCTCGTACTGGTCGGGTCGTCCGGTGGAGCCGCCGGCTGGTGGCGGGGTCACCGCCGAGCTGCGTCAGGTGTTTGCCTTCCGCGGCACGCTGGCGCGGCGGCTGGCCGTCGACGACGACTGGACCACGCTCGTCACCATCGACGACGCCGGCGTGCTCTACGTGCTCCAGGTCATGTGACCGCGCTAGCGGCTAGGGGAGCGTGGACGCTAGCGGCCGGCGCAAGTAGCTGTGGTGCAGGCGGCGCTCGGGACGTGGCGACGGGCTGCGCTCGCGCGTCGGCCGATGCGAGTCCGCGCGCGACGTCGGCGCTCTGGTGATCTCAGATGACTGGGGGCATTTGGCGAACAGGCGCTGGCGGTCACGACGTCGCTCACGGTGTACAAGTCAGCGGTCCGCCCTCCGCCTGCTAATTCGCTCAGTGAAGATCGCACGGACGCTCCGCGGTGAGAATGACGCGTTACGCGGTCCCGGCTTCCAGCGTTGCCATGGAGATTCTCCGCGACGCCTGCCGGCCAGTCGCGCTTATCTTTCGCCCCGCCGGCGCTGGGCGGGGCCAGCCGCGGCGTGCGATGGGGCTGGAGGAGGGCGCGCCGGCGGGGCTGTGATCAGTGTGAGTCGCGACCGGGTGAGCGGGCCAGCTCAAAAGTGAGGTGATGAGGCCCGGCCCCTCCACCGGTTGCGGGAGCGCACAGGTGGACCAGTCTTTCGCCATGTGTGCCTTGCGCAGTGGGCTAGTCAGTGGGGACCGCGGCGCCGCGCGAACGGTGGTAGAGTAAGAGTGATGTGCGTGCTAGGGAGGGCGATGGGCCGCCAATGGCAGCGTTCCTCGGTAGTAAGCTCGTGACGCTGAAGTCCCGTTCACTTTGGTGCATTTCAGGCCGTTTTTCGGCATACCCTGTACCCAGGGCGTCAGATGAATTACGTACAGCACTCACTTTCGTGCAAGGCTTTGGACCCTTGCCTTTAATCTAATGTTAGCGACAGTTATGGACGGTTACTTGCCTTGGCTCACAGCTGACATAGCTTAGCCTACTCAACTTTCGCCAGGCCGCTGTCGAAATTCCCGCCCTCTGTGACGGTCTAGCTGCAGTCTTCCAGGTCATGTACAGCATTATCCGCCGCAGATTGATTTTTCATTGGCCTCCAGAATGAAATGGCGCCACACAGTTTTGCCCGGGGCCACGCTCGAAGCCCCCGGCGTGCGACAGGCTGCCGCCCGCAGAGAACGGACGCAACAAAGTGAATGGGGCTTGAGCTGCCTCCGGGTTTGACTGTCCGACCTGACGCTCGAGAGAAGCCCCCGGCTGCCGCTGGGGCGCCGGGCTATTCCGTGCATGCTGTGGGGAGGCGGGGGGGGGGGGGGGGGGGGCTGCTTGCGGGAATCGCCCAGCGGTGACCCGTGCCCGATTCCAGAAGCAAACAGCTGGTTGTGTGTGGCTGTACCCGGCGTTTTGAATGATGAAATGTGCGAGATTGTTCAATCGTGAGACTTTTCTCGCAGTTGCTTGTATTTTTTGAACGACGCCTTACGTTGATGGTGATCGCACGAGGATGAGTGCCCTGGAATTTACATTTCGTTCTAGATATCGTTAAATTCAAAGGAGATTGGTCCTCCGGTGGTGCCTTGCCAACTTTTTGTACCAGACAACGGAAATAAATGCGTTAGCAAACCGTTTGTTTTCTTTAGAGCGGTAAAGTATCACGAGTTTTCCTTCGGAAAGAACAAGCTAGAAGGTAGTAGACAGCGCAAGCACTTTTTACCTAGATCTGCATAATGCGATCCGAAATGTTTGCCGGCATTGCCCACAAGTGCGTGTTTGCTCCTCCCCTCCATTGTTGGTGCGATCTGCTCCTCCCCTCCATCAATCCGCCCGAAATGATCTGCAAAAAGCTGCTAAGCTCCAGCTAGAATTTATCCCTGCTTGCTTTCCATTCCTATGCCATCGAGGCACGTAAAATACCGCCTGTCTTTTCTGCCAGATGCTGGCAGAGCTCTTATTGCAGTAAACTGTCACTGGAAGCGTCATTGTTGCACTGACGGTGTTCCCTCGTCCTGTCTAGGCGGTGCGCCCTTTTCCGTTGTGGCGCACGGCTCCCTACCGGATTCGTCCGGGTGTCGGTCCGCACCGGCCCGTAGCGACGCGTCAGCGCTGGGCGTGCTGACGACGGCCCGTAGCGCCCATGTCGAGCATGCTGACATCCCGCATCCCCGCCCCAGCGCTGGGCGTGTTGACGTCCCGCATCGCCACCCCAGCACTGAGCGTGCTGACGACGGCCCGCATCGCTGCCCCAGTGCTGGGCGTGCTGACGGCGGCCCGTAGCGTCATGTCGAGCGTGCTGACGTCCGGCATCCCCGCCCCAGCGCTGAGCGTTGTTGACGTCCCGCATCGCCACCCCAGCACTGAGCGCGCTGACGACGGCCCGTAGCGCCGCCTCGGTGCTGAGCGTGCTGACGGCAGCCCGCAGCGCCGCCTCGGTGCTGAGCGTGCTGACGGCGGCCCGTAGCGCCACCTCGGTGCCGAGCGTGCTGACCACATCCGGAGTGCCGTGTATGACGTCACGCCGCAGCTTGTGCCGGCAGACGTGCCCGGGCCGCCGTAGGATCCATTGCGTCACGCTGACGTCACCAAGTCATCCTGCACGCTCAGCTGGGAGCTAGGCTGGGAGGCGGTATCAACGTTCCAGACGCCTCTCCACTGACAGACGGACTGCCCGCCGCTAACTCGCCATACGGCCGGCTCTCTTTATTTCACGCGAACACATTTGTCAGCGTCGGCAGGTCAGGCGCCGGCCGCCAGGCAGGACAGGCTGCTGTGGTCCGCCTTGGCGCTGGCGGTCCGTCACAGCAGGCGCCGGCCGGTCCAGCAGGTCAGGCTGCGGTGGTCCGGCACAGCAGGCGCTGGCCGGTCCGGCAGGTCAGGCTGCGGTGGTCCGCCTCGGCGCCGGCGGTCCGGCACAGCAGGCGCCGGCCGGTCCGGCAGGTCAGGCTGCGGTGGTCCGCCTCGGCGCCGGCGGTCCGTCACAGCAGGCGCCGGCCGGTCCAGCAGGTCAGGCTGCGGTGGTCCGGCACAGCAGGCGCTGGCCGGTCCGGCAGGTCAGGCTGCGGTGGTCCGCCTCGGTGCCGGCGGTCCGGCACAGCAGGCGCCGGTCGGTCCGGCAGGTCAGGCTGCGGTGGTCCGCCTCGGCGCCGGCGGTCCGGCACAGCAGGCGCCGGCCGGTCCGGCAGGTCAGGCTGCGGTGGTCCGCCTTGGCGCTGGCGGTCCGTCACAGCAGGCGCCGCCGGTCCAGCAGGTCAGGCTGCGGTTGGTCCGGCACAGCAGGCGCCGGCCGGTCCAGCAGGTCAGGCTGCGGTGGTCCGCCTCGGCGCCGGCGGTCCGGCACAGCAGGCGCCGGCCGGTCCGGCAGGTCAGGCTGCGGTGGTCCGCCTCGGCGCCGGCCGGTCCGGCAGGTCAGGAGGTGGTTTGCCTCGGTGCCGGCGGCCCAGGCTAGCAGCGTCATGTAGCTGACAGAGCCCGGCGACGCATCGCCACCGGTGGGATCCGGGGACGGTAGCGGTTGTGCTGACGTCATACCAGCGACAAGGCCACACGCCGAGCACGGTGCCGTGGGGCACGTGGACGCCCTGGCTCAGCCCACAGCCCTTCGCCACAGAGTTCCGGATGCAACGCAGCGACAACAACGTGCTGGTGACAAACTGAACAACGGAAACCACATTCGCCGTCCCGACATTTCCAGTATATAAGCATGATGCCAGCTTCGCGGAACATTACGCGCCCAACCAGCGCACCGTCTCAAATTGTACGTCACATGACACACCTGACCTAAAAAGACGTCGGACATCCCCGCAGAAGGCTGCTCAGTCGCTGTGTCACGCTCTGCGACGGCGCACATCACGCAGAACATACCGCCCATCGTCCCCATGGGCGAACGCGTACGAGACATCACGAAGCGGGGGAGAGCCATGGCAGATTGCGACGGGCTGCGCCAGACCCAGCGCGCGGGCGCAGGAGGTGCAGCCGCGCGGGGCCGCCGCAGCCTAGATTAACAGCGCGTGGAGTGTGTAACCGAGTCACGACATTAAAGCACGATAAAAGAAACGTTCGCGGAGGCCAGTGAGAGCAGATGTCAGGCCGCAAACACTGACAGTTCGTACTGGCCGATCGCGAAATAAAAAAGGCATTTAACGTTACGCCAGGCCATAAGCCTCATAAGTCAAGTTGTTCAAATGTTAACGGTGAAATTGATCGCAATGAACAAACTCATAGACAATGAACGATGGAAGAATGCAATTCAGCTCAGATTTGGCCGCTCGATAAGACCAGTGCCAAACGGCAGGCGAGCGGACTGGAGGATGAAACATCTTCGAGCCGACTCTCACACACGTCCCAAATCTTCTGGGCGACAACGGCGCACCCGCGGGGGCGAACCTCAGGGCTATCGCACCCTGGCCGATCTGCTGACTTTAAATAATTTTGCTGACGTCTATGAAGTCCAGTCATATACAAAGGAGAAAAACTATTGCCGTCCCAAGAGCATGCGACTATGCTCAGTGGCCTTCAAATTTCATGAATTTGAAGCTGACTCAAAATCGCTGAAAGCCAAACGGCCCCCAGCTGAGTAGGCAAATCACTGCCACCATTCATTTGTCTACCAAAGTCTTCCATCTTAGGTAAATGACCAGAGTGCGGTGCCCTTTCCGTACCGTCAACGCGTTGGTGGTGCGGATGTGCCGCGATGGCAGCGCCCGGCATTGCACCAGCCTGTCGCATAGTCAAAACGACCACAACGCGACATCCACCGCGTCGACACGCAACTGCCGGTGCAGGCTCCTCCGAGCGTGGTCGGGTGTCGGCGCAGGGGCGTGATCACAATCGATAGAAGAGATCCGAGCTGGAGCTGCCGCTGGCCTGCCCTTCCGGTCACCGGGCGGGGCGTCCGCTACCCTGGCCGGGACCGGGCGGCGCCATCGGCGGGCCCTCACCGGCCCGCCCGTCCCCGGCCACGGCTGTAGCCGCCGCGGCTCTTGGGCGGCGGAGACTTGGGTCGCAGCGCCTCGATCCGCTCCGTGCAGCCTGGAAAACGCGAGGACACACACAGGTCAGGCCAGGCGCCCCCTCCAGAAGCGCCGCCGAGCGCCACATGGTGACGGGGAACTAAAAGTGGAGCATTGCCACACGACGGCCCTTTAACACATGCGTCGTCTGAGCAGGGCGGAAGCAAATTATTATGCAGCGGTGTAAATTTAGGAACTTGAATAGCTGTAGCAGTATGCAAATTGTGTAACGGTGAATATTGTCACTTGCTAGTAAGCATATCCATTAAATGAATCAGTATCAATTGACAATGCTGCATCGATATTATTATGTGCTGCGCAAACTTAACATAGACGCTGTCTCTGACGAAAAAACGCCTTCCGACTTGAGGGCACGCGTGATCCGAATTCGATAGATGATGTGCGTGAAGTTAATGCCTTACGTGCCTCACAATCCACAGGCACAGTACCCTACTGAAGTTCACTGCTATGAAATCGCAGATGTTGAAAGCATGGGAAACATCGATCGCACGACAACGCACTGGAACATTGCACACACCTGAGGAGATACCAGAGGTTAAATTTAGTCGATTGAACAAAAACTAACATAGAGGAAGTGACAGGTAAAATTGCTTCATGGGGGACAATTACTAAAAAATCCAGTCTTGCCTTTATGGCCTGTCACGCAGCCTCAGAAACTCTTGGGACCTGCACATGGTTTTTGTATCCTGTTAAGTTATACAGCGCGCGCTGTTGCGCAGCCCTTTATGAAGCGCTAATGGGCGCGGTAGCAACACAGCGCCCCGCGGCCGTAACGGCCGCAGGGAGCCGAGCTTGGGCGTGTCGCGTAGGATCGCAAACTACTGCCTTATTTCGCCTCCAGACCATCGAACTTTGCAATCGCCGGTGCGCAGGTGCACGCTATCCTTGATGCCGAGGAAGCCATGGGGGGGGGGGGGGCACAAGAACCGGTGCCACCGCCGCTTACACTGATGATCAGCCCGTCGGCCGGCGCCTCGTCCCCCTCCCCTCCCCCAACAGATGGCCAGATCTCAGCTGGTTGCCATGCGACAGCCCTTCCAGGTGGCGCACCGCGCGATACTACAACCAGAAGCGCAGTCCTAATCTGCTTCAGTACGTGGACGCCACGCTTCGCTACGGACAACAGCACGTCAGTGGCCGTGACATCTGTTACCCCGGCCTGTCGTGACCCGGGCCACCCTGAATTTCGGGTCCGCAGTTGAAAACACCATAAGCGAAATCTGCAAATTGCCCGCGTCCCTCAATCTGATCGCCAGCTTCCTGTCAGTGCTGATGCAATTGCCAGCGGACGCTGCAGACAACATTGTCCCCATGCACTGGATGATGCCATCACGCTCCACATCCGCACCAGAAGGACCTTGGTGAAGAGCACAGCGCGTTGCAGGAGAGTCGAGACCACCCGAGCACTTGGAGAGTTCCCGTGAGAAGACCTGTTCCGGATCTCTTCAACTACGCGTTCTCCGCCCCTCCCCCTTTACGGAGCGTGCGTCGGGCGCTCGGATTTCCTGACCACCGAGTCCTGTATCCGCGTGCTGTCGATCAGGCCGGCGCGCTGTGGATGCTTCTCTGTCTCAGAGACAGCACCAGCTGTCGCAGCCACTGACATCAACAATGTGGAGTCCTTCCTTTAGCGAACTTCAGTTGCCGCCGCCTTCCCTCGATAGCTGGCTACGAGCCGACTACTGCCGCCACGCCTTACTCCAGACAGACGGGTCGGCCAGGGTCGCAGTCACGGAGCCCACAGCATGCCCAGCGGACCTGGCGCCGTGACTTACTAGGAAGGTCGTCACAAACTCCATCAACCGGCCGTCCCTGGTCTTCGACACCTGAGGTACGGAGCACAGGCCAGACCTCCGGTCCCACGGCCGGCACGCACGACTCCGCACCTGCGAGGGTCAGGTCACTGCGACGGCATACGCGCCAGATGGCCGTGTCGTGCCCCCAGCGTGTTCCTCTTCATATGCCAGTCCGTCGTCCCGTCCCGTGCTGGTACTTTCACCACCCCACGCGCCTACTAGCCTATCAAGAGACAGCTGGCCGGTCTCCACTGCAGTCTCGAACGCCACCAGCAAGCCGTTTGCACCGTGCTCCTCAGGCCCAACAACACGCAGCAGCGGTCTCTCCTTTTCGTCATCGACTTCACCACGCGAATCGTTGCTGATAAAAAGCCTGCCAAGCCATGCCCTCATTGATCTGCGGGGCGCAGCACGTGCCACCATCCACACGGGGCACACTCTCTTCTTCCCAGCCCAGCCGTGAGCCCACGATCTCCTGGTGCGCGCCTGTGGTCCGACATGGAAGAAAAGCTACCTGGCAGCCACACTCCCAGCATGTCGTGTGGCCGAAGCGTGCGACGGTCATGACGCCGCCGTACGGGTCTCGTAAATGCCGTAGTTGTAAACTGACGCCGCCGAATCCAGCAACATCCAGACAATGGCAGGGTTGTTTTCTTAAATGGTCCGGTTCATGGGAGCGGCCTCCTGCTGGGGTTCATTCCTTGGTGAATGTGTCAGCTCCCGATGGGGCAGTGTACGCCCTGCTGCCCAGACGATCGCCGGCCTGCCGCGGCTCTGCCGTTCGCGCGCACACTTCCGGAGAGGAGCACAGGTCTGCAGCCTGGCGTTTGGCTGCGATCCCTTCACACTTCTCACGAGCCGTGCGGACAGCAGTCGGTCAGGCACTGGGCTAGTCCTTCCGCTCCCTGTCCGGGGCACATCACGGCAACGCGCAAGACATCTTCCGTCCGCCTGTGCGACCCTGTAGCGCTCGAAGTCTCCTTGGTCCTCACATCGAGTATGCTGCGGCTCGTCGTCTGCTATGAGACCATCAGCCGTGTTACAGCGGGCGCCGAGAGCGCTGTGACTCCACCACCACCATACTCACATTTGCTTTGTCATGCCATCACATTCATTTCACTCACATACACCATGTCACGTTCACAATTCACATCACATCTCGAAAGGTCATTTCATAAACGGTCCACTCCGCTACTTCTACAAGTTTAGCGAAGAAGTACTCTGATAAACAGAATACTTTTGCGGGATTTTAGGCGACGTTCGTCTAGTTTTGTTGACACTTCTCTCAGGTCAGATCCTAGAATAGCACCACCGTATAGCTTCCTCCACTACGGTATGACGAACGGACCCTGGGACACAAAAGCCAAATCACATATACTGCGGCGAATACCTATGACGATGCACATTATTGCGCCAACCCGGAGCTGAAAAACTCTGAGGCGTCAATTGGTGCACGGGACACAAATCACAGCCGATCAGATGGAAGCGTCCACCCGGCGGGCTCTGGTAGCCGGGATCGGGCAGCGCGGCCCGGCCCGGCGGGCTCTGGTGGCCGGGGCCGGCAGCGCGGCCCGGCCCCGGGCCCGTGGCTCACCGGTGGTCGCGTTGCTTCCAGCGAAGTAGCCGTTGTAGACGTCCGGGTCGAAGTTGGACGAGGTCAGGCCGGGCCCCAGCGTCAGCCAGCCGGGACGGATGGTCGACTCCCGGCCGAACAGGTGCAGTCTGCCGGCCGACGCGGGGGAGCTTGACAGCGACCCAAACCCAGCACGTGACACGGCACGCGCCGGCCCGCCGGTGCGACAGTCACCGGCACCGCAACCGCTCTCGTTTTACGGACAAGGCGTGGCGCAGGCAGGGCCGCGGCCGCCCCTCTTCTACGCTTTCACGAACGCGCACGCGGAACAGCTCCTATATCTTTCAAGAACGAAATAACCATCCGTTGACCTAGAAAAACACAAATAGAATGAAATCATGCGTCGCAGCCCTTCGCTAAGACTGGGGAGAGGTGGAGCAAAACTGCATGGCTAAATGATCCGGTGAACAAAGACTCAGTTAAACGCGACTTGGCCCGAACCAAGCGTCTACGGCCGGCTTGTTCCCACTCGGTTCCCCCGCTTTGCCTTCGAAAGTGGTATCCCACAGCGAAAAGCCACTCCTTTACGCAGAGAACGAAAAGGATAAAACATTCAAAATGGTTGATTTTCGACAACAAAGATATATTTGTATATCCCTGGAGTACATCTGCTGACAGCGATGCCGGTCTTCAGCTGTCGCTGGAAGACGCCGCCAGTGCACAATAACACTGGCAGCCGAGCCGATCGGGCCTGATGATTTGAAAGCTGATTATATTATGACTCATTGTAACACCACTATCCTCACCAGCATTTCTTTCACACAGAATGCTACTCATTCGTTTAAATACTTATTTATTTAGAGATGCAAATCGCTGTTAGAGGCCATCCAGGCGGGTGCAGTACAGTGACGTCACAAAAATTGGGAAGATTTTTGAGAGGTTGTAGTATTATAAGATACTTCGGATAAGCGGTGAAAACGCATCCGAGGAAATTAGCTATAAGAGTATCACGGTATTGTGCACATTGGTCCGTCGCACATTGGAAAAACGTGGCACAACACAAATTATGTATATCGCATCTTGCACCTCCACATCACCTCTTGCACTTGCACCTAAAGTACCCATCCAAGGATGCTTTGATAGATGGGAAGTCGTGACCATCAAAGACGAAACATTGCGTACACAATGCGCGTTAACGCAACTTCCATTGCATCGATGTCACTTTTCGTTCAAAAGCATATACAATAGCAGCCACCGGTATCGACGCTTCAGACCTAGTACCATGAACGAAAACTCCAGCGACCTCAGCTTCCAGCCGCCATACAGTCGAGATCGACACGGACGCACGCACGCACGCACGCACGCACACACGAACTCGTGACCGGCGGGAGCCAGAGTCGGCTGCCGCTCACGTGGGATCAGTAGTATAATGACCACCGAGTACTGGCGGCTGCCCTGCGCCGTGGACGTGTCTCAGGGAGATCGCCAACAGATCATGACGGCCCGTGGGAGGCGCTAGTCTGGCCGGCAGACGGGACAGCTAAAGGACCGGACTGGCACGTGAGGCTCGCCCGACAGCCAGCCACCGCCAACACGTCGGACGGTGATCAAAGGCCTTACAAAAGCGCGACAAACAAAACTCCACGGCTTAACAGCGAGCATCGGCCTGTGCAGCCCGATGGACTCGGAGCTCGCGACCTTCATTATCCCGCCGCAGGCCGGGGACGGGCGCTGCAGACGTCCGGCCGGGGACGGCTGCAGGGCACTGCCGGCCAGGAAGCCACGCGTGGAAGCGGAAGGGCAGCCCCAGGGCGCGCCTGGCAGCACCTGCAGCACTGGCAGCGCCTGGGGCGACCTTCGGCCGGCGGCCGGCCCGGCGCGCGGGGCGGCCAGCGGCCGGCCGGACCGCGTATAAAGCGACGCGGCGGCCCACAGCGGGCACCAGTCTCTGCCGTGCCGTCCACAGCAGCGTCATGCAGCTCGCTCGCCCCCTGCTCGCCCCGCTGGCGCTGGCCGCAGCGGCCGCTGCGCTCAACCTGGCCGACGTGCCCTGCGGCAAGCAGGCGGCCGTCACCAAGATCGTGGGCGGCGGCGCCGCGCGGCCCGGCCAGTTCCCCTGGCTGCTGTCGCTGCAGCGCGACCAGCAGCACGGGTGCGGCGCCACACTCGTCAACAAGTGGTTCGCCGTGACCGCCGCGCACTGCCTGAAGACGATGCCGGCCGACCAGTTCAGCGTGGTGGCCGGCGAGCACGACCTGACTAAGTCGGACGCCAAGGAGCAGCGACTGCCAGTGAAGGCCATTACGCTGCACCCGGGCTACACGGTGGGCAAGCGCCGGCACGACCTGGCCGTGCTGCGGCTGGCCCGGCCGGCCGTCTGGGGCCGGCGCGTCCAGCCCGCCTGCCTGCCGGGCGCGGCCGCCGCGCCGCCCGTCAACCGCACCGCCACCGTGGCCGGCTGGGGCTGGCTGGACGAGGAGGCGAACGGCGGCCAGCGCGCCGACGTGCTGCAGTCGGTAGCGGTGCCGGTCATGGGGCCGACCGAGTGCACCGCCTGGTTCCGCGCCGCCGGCAAGCCGGGAAAGCTGAGGCCCGGCCAGCTGTGTGCCGGCTTCAAGGAGGGCGGCCGCGACGGCTGCCAGGCCGACAGCGGCGGCCCGCTCCTGCTGCCGGAGCAGGGCCGCGCCACGCTGGTGGGAGTCGTGTCGGGCGGCATCGGCTGTGGCCGGCCCGGCCTGCCCGGCGTCTACACCGACGTCGCCCACTACCGGGACTGGCTGGTCGAGACCATCCAATAGGCCGTGACGCGGAGCCCCGCCCGGGCCGCCCGGTCCGGCGCACCTGCGACGCGATTCGATGTCGCCTGAGCGCGACTTAGTGGCGGTTTGGTTCACCAAAGAGGACGGCTGTGTGGTAACAGACCTTCGTTTGATGAATGTGATAGTGCGCGACCGCGTAATTGTGACGAGTTGCATTCCGCTATCGTAAAAGGACATGCGCATACGTGGCTAGTATGCGGGCTATCAGAGCATGCAGCACTGGAACTCATCATGAATGGGGTAAGTGACGGCTTACAAAGCGAGTCATCACTGCGGGCTGCCGTGGTCAGCACACTCCTTCTGCAATGCATGCTAAGTAGGTAATTCCGCATGAGATGTATTCCACACCCAACGTCAATGCAAATAATACACGCGATGATCATATAGTCGATGCCTATGTGGACATCATTTTGAGAAAACAAAAACTCTCGCACACCGCCATTCTTCCTTGTACCGCGCGCTGTCTAACGTTTGCTTTTTATTGCAGTCGATCTCTTCCTTGTAAGTTGCGAGCGAGTCACGCGCACAAAGGAATGGAATCCCAGGGATCGCAAAATGTTTGCAGTTTACATGCACATATTGGATGTCTGGTGCCGTCCACTGGTATGCCAAACAGCCGAGTCCCGGCACTGGTAGCGGTGCTGGCAGGTCAAAGGCTCAGCAGATAGACTGTCTGGTATAGTCCACTGGTATGCCAAGCAGCCGAGTCCCGGCACTGGTAGCGGTGCTGGCAGGTCAAAGGCTCAGCACATAGACTGTATGGTACAGTCCACTGGTATGCCAAGCAGCCGAGTCCGGGCGCTGGTAGCGGTACTGGCAGGTCAAAGGCTCAGCACATAGACTGTATGGTACAGTCCACTGGTATGCCACACGGCCGAGTCTCGGCACTGGTAGCGGTACTGGCGGGTCAAAGGCTCAGCATATAGACTGTATGGAACAACCCACTGGTGTGCCACACAGCTGAGTCCCGGCACTGGTAGCGGTGCTGGCAGGTCGAAGGCTCGGCACTGCAAGTCACCGAGACCGCGGCCCTGCCTGCGACAGGAGAGCCGGACCAGCCTACCGCAGCAGGGGCGAGCACCTCCCCGGTTCGGCAGGCCCCGCGACACCTTACGCTCCAGGAGAGCCGGACCAGCCCATTGCAGCAGGGGAGAGCACCTCCCCGGTTCGGCAGGTCCCGCGACACCTTACGCTCCAGGAGAGCCGGACCAGCCCATTGCAGCAGGGGAGAGCACCTCCCCGGCTCGGCAGGCCCCACGACACCTTACGCTCCAGGAGAGCCGGACCAGCCCATTGCAGCAGGGGAGAGCACCTCCCCGGTTCGGCAGGCCCCGCGACACCTTACGCTCCAGGAGAGCCGGACCAGCCCATTGCAGCAGGGGAGAGCACCTCCCCGGTTCGGCAGGCCCCGCGACACCTTACGCTCTAGGAGAGCCGGGCCAGCCCATTGCAGCAGGGGAGAGCTCCTCCCCGGCTCGGCAGGCTCCGTGACACCCTACGCTCTAGGAGAGCCGGGCCAGCCCATTGCAGCAGGGGGAGAGCTCCTCCCCGGCTCGGCAGGCCCCACGACACCCTACGCTCTAGGAGAGCTGGACCAGCCAGCCGCAGCTGGGGGAGAGCGCCTCCCCGGTTCGGCAGGCCCCGCGTCACCTTACGCTCTAGGAGAGCCGGACCAGCTCACCGCAGCAGGGGGAGAGCACCTCCCCGGCTCGGCAGGCCCCGCGACACCTTACGCTCCAATGGAACCGGACCAGCTCACCGCAGCTGGGGGAGAGTACCTCCCCGGCTCGGCAGGCCCCGAGACACCTTACGCTTTCATACGCAGTGCTCGTCCCGGAAGCTCTGACCGGAAAATCCCGGATTACTATGCACTGGTGGGGTAACCCAGCACGGTTTCGTCATATTGCGTATGAAAACCCCCGTTGATGATGTTGAGAGCATGCACCATTGCAACTGTGCAGGAGAAACCTTAACGCATATAGATGAGCTAAAGATGGGTCCAAATAAAGATACGTTTAAGGCTAAGGGTGTGAAATGCGGCTAAAAAGGGTGAAAACGGTAATATACACGACGGCGGCCACCGGCGTGAAGATAGCGCTAAGACCGTGTCTCCTGAAGATGGCGCTAAGACCGTGTCCCTGAAGATGGCGCAAGACCGCGTCCCTTGAAGACAGCACTAAGACCGCGTCCCATGAAGATAGTGTTAACACCGCATCCTCCGGAGATAGTGCTAGGAGAGTGTCCCACAAGGTGGAGAGTGCGGATGTGAGTTCTGGTTCGGAAGGATTCGGGCCTATGCCTGTCCTCGACTTCCGTCAGTCGCTTCTAAACATGGCATGCATTATTCCAACTGAAAGATAAGCTTCGATGGCCGTGTTCATGACAAACATAATGAGTCCAGACTCTACACACAACCATTTTGTGAGTTTAGAACCTGGAGTCTCCTCCGCTCCGATCTCCCCAACATGACGTGAACCAAGTTCTCACCTAGACAGCTTTTTCCACGTGAAAATTCCCTTGACGAGTGCGAAGTGACCAATGTATGTGCGGGGGATGTATAATGTTGTTTTTCGGAACACTGTGGTCGGGTGACTTCCCTGTCGCTTATGGCAATTCCGTGTAAGTCCAAATGTGTAACTCTACTTCTGGGTCCATAGTAATCAAACGTGGACTTTAAGAAAACGCCTCCAGATGCCTTATGATCGCATAATGTACGCCCCCACACGGGTACGTGCGAGGTAAACACAGGGAGGAGGTAGAACTGAAGTCACAACGCCGATGGGTCTCTAAAAACGTCTTCGCTCTCAAATTTTCTCAAACCAAAAACCGTTATCAAACAGATGCAGCCCATGAGGTCAACACAAGCCAAGCCGCACATCTGTGACGTTCAAACTGACGGAAAGAAGACCAACACCTTACAGGTGTTCCACAAGACGGGTTCAAGATGAGGGAAATCACAGCTTGGCGTGGGGCTCCGGAGTCGACAACCGCCACAGCACGAGAGCTATCTAACCTGCGCCTGCCCAGGCAGAAGTGCTCGATGATGTGGAAGATCTCCTGGGCCTTCTCCAGCGAGCCGTAGCCCGGATCCTCGGCGATGATGAGGTCGATGTCCACGTTCGCGTGGATGAAGTCTCCGTCCACCGAGCGACGCACGGTGCCCTTGATGCCCATCAGACAGTGCTCCTGCGTGCCAACCACCGAGCCGTCAACACCAGCTCGGCCGGCACGGTGCCCTTGATGCCCACCAGACAGTGCTCCTGCGTGTCAGCCAGCGAGCCGTCAACACCAGCTCGGCCGGCACGGTGCCCTTGATGCCCATCAGACAGTGCTCCTGCGTGTCAGCCAGCGAGCCGTCAACACCAGCTCGGCCGGCACGGTGCCCTTGATGCCCATCAGACAGTGCTCCTGCGTGCCAGCCAGCGAGCCGTCAACACCAGCTCGGCCGGCACGGTGCCCTTGATGCCCATCAGACAGTGCTCCTGCGTGTCAGCCAGCGAGCCGTCAACACCAGCTCGGCCGGCACGGTGCCCTTGATGCCCATCAGACAGTGCTCCTGCGTGCCAGCCACCGAGCTGTCAACACCAGCTCGCCTGCCGCTGGTGGGAGTCGTCACTACAGCAGTGCAGTGGCAACAGAACACGTTGTGCTGCCCGGCAGTTCACATACACTTTTCCGCGAGCGTAACATAGCTCGGTTTGACAGCAGTTTTCCCAACAGCCACTAAGGTGGCGTACTGGAATGGCATAATAGGATGCAAAGCACTGAATTCCACAGGAGATGTCCAAGATAAACACCATCGAGGCCAGCGTAAGTGTACGAAACATTTTAAAAATGTGGAATTAAAACAAAAATGGTAAGCCAGTCAAAACGGAGGTGCGAGAAAATGTCTGGAAACTGCTATGAGCCTGTACCCACAATTCCCAATAGTTGTGCACAGGCCCTTTCCAGTTAAATGCTGATGGTAACACAATCTTCATCGCGCATGACAGACACTCGTGTTTCGGCACCCTTGTGGGCCACTCGACCGTTCGTTTGCTGTTGACATTCCTGTCATAAACGGAGCGCATTCAGTTAACGAACCTTTACCGAGTTGTATTGCTCGATGAACAAGATCTGTTCTGTTCTACCAGCACTGATTGGAATAGCACAAATCCCGCGACGTAGCGATCTTTTCACAGGCTTTAACAGCCTATCACCGTCATGGAACATGAAACTACAAGCAAAAAAGGTGGACATGCACAGCGCGACCCTCATTCGTGCCTTGGTCCGCTGGAAGATGGCCTTCGTTTCCAGGTTTTTGTTGTGCCCTGGGTTTTTGATGTTGGTCTTGATCCAGCAGATGTCCTCACAGCGCCGGTAGCCCCACTTCCTGAGGCACTGCCGGCCCAGGTCCAGCCCGTCCGAAGAGCCGCACCACAGGAACACGAACGAGCGGTGCGCCGCCACGGCGTCCAGCTGCAGACTCATGATCTGGCCACGGGTCAGTGCCGGGTCAGGGGCGTCAGCACGCCAGCACGGTACACCAGCACAGCACGCCAGCACGGTACACCAGCACAGCACGTCAGCGCAGTACACCAACACATCAGAAGCACAACACTGAACACCACACGGCACAACAGTCCGAGCCACTCACTCACTGCTGAAGCCCATGTGGACTTTTGTTAAAAACTAGTTCATCCCTCACCATGTATCACAAATCCATTGATGGATTAAACCTTAAGCACAGAGCAGAAACATTTAAAATCGGCACGAGCACCGCTCCCAGGACCCAGAAAATTGTAGTAACATCTGCCATCACTAAGCGATGTCACATATGATGCATGAGTCCATTTATCAATTTCAATGGTTACAAATATGCCAAAAGACTTGTCTTCATCAGCAGCCCAGGTTGCATACATGGCCAGTAGGTGGCAGCACATGCGGACAAGGCCTTACGCCCACCTTTATAGGCTAGACAAACAGGCTTAAATCATCTAGCGCAAGACGAACTTCGTCTTCAGAGAGAAAAACTTAGGACTGCTCCAAATCGCCCCATACCGGACCAAATATCGCTACCCGCCGTGTTGCGGATTGGTGAATTTTATTCGCCGCAGATGTATTTGCCTATTCGACATTTCGTGAAAGAGGTGGCACTCAACTTTTCTGTCTTTCGCATGCATTTTATTCCAAAACTGGTAGACCACGGCGTTCAGTTGCGCAGTCATCCCATAGAATGAGCTGTTTTACACAGCTATTGGTAATGGCTGGCGCCTGGTCGGCCCTCTGCGCACTACCCGACGTTAAGCAGCAGCCGCGGCCCACCTCGTCCCAGCTCCAGAAGCGCTGGTTGGTGACGCCCAGCGTGCGCTGGTACTCCTCCAGCGGCGGCTCCACCAGGATCACGTCGAACTCGCTGCGCAGCTGACGCAGCTCGAACGACAACAGGTCCGTCTTCAGGTACATCGGCGGCGTGGCCGTGTTCTCGATCAGCTCGTCCTGCAGCAGCAGCCACCCAAACAGTCGGCCGCTTTCTCCACTAATAGCTCATCTCAACGCCACACAGCCGTGTCCTGAAGATTGCGGGCGTGTTCCCTCACGAGAGACTGGTCACTGATAAGCATCACGTTGACTGGCTTACTAGTCGGTCGGCACCATACATGGCTGGCTCGCGACACGGACCGAGGAAACAGGCGTCCAGTTTCATGTAAGTTAGCTTCAGAGATATAAACCCATGGCAAGATGAATGTTCCCTTTATTCGTATTATGCCCTTAGAGTAGCTATGTTGCTAACTAGTTCAAGTCAGTGCTTTTCTGGCTGATAACAAGAAGCCAATCGCTCGTCCATGCATGCCACGTGGTACGAGCACAACAATGTCGCGGGCGCGGAGCCACGAGCCGACGTAGCTTGCCTATCCCAGGCCGAGCCCGCTCGTCACCAGAAGCCTGGCATGGCGTCAGCTGCGAGTGCTGGGTGTGGCCGCCAGCACCACGATGCCAGCGGCCGGCCGCGACAGCAGCCCTTACGCCAGGTTAACACAGTCCCAGCGAATCTCTGCGCACGCACCACTGGATGTGCTAAGAGCCCGAGAACAACTGGTGCAGCATTTGCCCGAACCCACCTAACAGCGGTCCTCCAGCGCAAAAGATAATTTCGTCCACGGACAGTTTTAGCACCTGACACCGCGAATGGTCATTCTGGTCCTACACAATGCCACGACGCGGCTATCTCATGTCAGGTGACTGTGCCACTTGTTAGCGTTCACATGTGGGCAACTTTGACAGACGTACTGTCCAACTTTGGGTTGATCTTGTTGCTATCACAGCTCACCAACATTCCAAGCAGGCTGGAGAGTCTCTACACCGAAACCGCCCAGACTATGGACCAACACGTACTACTCTCAGGCGTTCGCTGCAGCTGGCCGAAGAGGACCAGGGACGGAGAAGCCAAGCGGCGCTCGTCGACTAACGGAAATCTTACCGCTACCAACACAAAACATCAGAGTAACACCCACTCGACACCTCCTCTCCCTGCCCCTCGCCGCCGCAGTGTGGCGCGGGCCACGTGTGGCCGTCTCGGCGCGCGGCGGCCGTGCCCACCTTCAGCCTGATGAGCTCCCGCAGCTTCGGGTACTCCTCGAAGCGGTCCTCCAGCCCCACATCACGGATGAAGTTCTGCGGCCGCTGGCCCGTGTCTACGAAGTGCTGGCAGTAGTCGTTGTGCGGGTTGGCCGACTGAGTGCCCTGGCGGCGACCGCGGGAAACGCGGGTCAGTGGGCGGCCGCGGGTGACCCGGACGCCGCCGGAGGGAGCGTCCGGATCGTCTGGGTCCGGCGGCCGGGTCAGGCGTCCGGCTGAGAGAACGGCGACGTGTCCTGGTGCTAGCTGACCGATCTGCTCGTCACCCTCAGTGCGAGATTGCTAAGGGTGATGATCAAATGATGCAGGTTTGGAAAATGCGAATTACATGTGGTCAACATCTCTCGCTTCTGGCGAGCGCCGCCGACGTCAAGCGCAGTCAAAGTACAAAATGTCCAAGTTAGGTAAGCATATGTGCTTGCTGCTGTTCAGTTAACAACAAGCTGGAACATACACTGGTGTAATATGGATAATGTGCAGTTCTGCTGACAACCAACGGCAGACTATTCAAAAAAAGAAAATCAATATAAATGCTTACCAAAGCACAATCACATTGCCACGCTAGTTGAATGACACTGGCCGCTTGACACGACGGATGTTTTTACGAGTGCTCAACCAAAAGGGTAAACTGGGCAGTGTGAGCTTGTTGACATGAAAATGCTGCTTTGCATGAAATTCCTTGCAATGGACAGCCAATAGGTAAGAAATGATGACACAAATAAGCAATTTCTCACTGTGTGAACAAAAATGGTACCTTAGAAACCACGCTAATGTAGTTCATAAACTACGACTGTAGCCTTGATATCACACTGATTTCAGATACCAGTCATGTAAAGGCTTGTCTTTCTGACTACCTCTCTGTCAAGATGCTGTCCTTGGTCTGATGACCAGTGTCCTGATGAAGCAAAACAATGTATGGAGGGTCATCACTGGTAGCATTATGTCGTCATGAAATGGCATATCTTGTTTCCACTGGTGTTATGTTGGCAACAGATACCACAGATTGTTCCCACCGGTGTTATGTTGAAAACCAAAACAGATGATGACACATGGCAATAACGTGACACACATTCTTGAGTGGATTGAAACTCTGGTTGCCCAAAGTCATTTCTGTTTCAAACGTATCAGCAAAACACAATTAAGTGAGAAAATTACCTTATTTGAGTTGATAATATTCTCAAAATTGTCCAATCAACTAACAAAAAGGAATAAGATCCATACAAGTGTGCAGTACAGAGTTGCCAACACTAGTCACCCTGGTGTGAGTATATCAACCAGTGTTTTAAATGAGTCAAAGGCTGCACAGTTAAAATTGTTTTTGCTTTACAAATGTGATCAATAAGAACATGTTTTAGTTGATAATATTGCCATGTGTAATAACCACTCTATCTGTATCAGTTACCTTAAGGAAAGCTGAGGAATCAGTATACACCATTTCTTCTGCTGTGTCACCCTCATCAATTTTGGCTTTCTTGGCATCTTCCTCTTCCTTCTTCTCTTCATGTGTCTTTTCCACTCCCAAAGATGTACTCCCTAGAACCTTCCCTAGGTTTTGTGGACTTGAAACACCAAGCTGAAATGAGCATATTGGTGTTATCCTTGATTTGAACATGATATTTATTCACCAAAGCAAACAGCCAGCTTCAAATCTTTTCTATGCATTAGACATGAATCTTTCATGACCAGAGGTATTAAAATACACAAACAATATTTTTATTTCTGCAATTACATTCATAAAGTACTAGAAACATCAAGTACCACACTCCTTCCAATGGAGAAAGTTGCATACACCTATACATGGGAGCCTCTAACACACAATTCACCTGTTGGGCAAGGAGCTGACGCCTCCTCTGTGACTTCTCACGCATCTCTTTTAGCTTCTCAGACATGACTGTGATATCTTAATAGGTAGCTTGATTTCTGCAAGTTGGGGTGTTTCCTTAAAGACATGTATCCATCAGCAGGGTGGAGTGAGCCACCCCTGCCACAAAGCTTTTTGTAAACCAGCTCTTGCTTTCATGCTTGTCATTCTATTTCAGCTTGCTGAGTCCCTTGTATACAGATAGAATTGCTGAAGGCTACACTCAAAATGAACCACAAAAAGAACCCTGAGACAGGCTGTCAAGCCATCATAAAGAAAAGGAGACATACACACTACTTTTAACTCAGTTACTCAATTGCAGCTATATAAGTTACTTTTTATTCTGAAAACCATTGTGTTTTGACCAACCATGAAATTGTGAAAGTTCAACCGACCAACCATCGCAAAAACCCACCATGCGTCCAGGAACCATAGCCTCACACAGGTAATTTTGAGTTGCAATACTCTGAACACATTTTCACACAAAATATTTGAAAATTCTGCACAAAATGGCCTGGGCTAAGTTTAACACCTGCAAGAATATGGTACAATACAGATGTCAGGTAGCCGCCAAGCAAGGTGGATCTTTTTGCAGACTGGATGTTCAACTAAAACTTTGAACATGACAGGATATAAACTAAAAAATATCAAAACTTAGGTTTACCATAGAAACGGAGGCAGCTATTGTTTGACAGAGCATCCCCTCATTTAATTTTAAAACGCACTTAGATGATGCGCTTCGGATGTCCCATGATCTTTACCTTCCCGCCGACAAAGCCTAATCCAAAATTGCGAGGCCTGTGCCGGCGATATCAAATTCCTTTGGATATGCTGTCGCTCTTGAAAATATCAAATATGGTCAAAAGGTTTCAAAAACCGTTAAACCGATCAAAGGTGACGATCCTGATTTCCAATTTTGTCAATCATGACCTGACATCACTGTCACGTGCAAATAAATCACAAATCTTACCCTCCTTTCACAAACAACGCGCGGTTTACCAACAACACCCTATGAATGCATCTCACCAAAGGTCGTACGACGGAGATACATGAAACTGTTGGTTTTCGCCAGCTTATCTTCGTGACGTCAGTGGTATAAAAGACTTCAACGTGCTACAGGCAACTAATACGGGGTGAAATCTTACAGGACAACTAAAATTTCAAAAACCGTCCCACACATGACGAATAAATTGTTGGCAAAAGATGAGCATGACTGCAAAACGATTTTAAAAAGGTCGGTATCCGTCCGTTAGCTCAGATGGTTAGAGGCAGGTGCGGATCCAGGACTTCCTCAAGGGGGATATGCAAACTTTTGGGCCCACTTAGTTCGCCTCTCCCCAGCCCTCAAAATACTCGCATTACGGCCAATAAACTTCAGATTTTCAGCATTCTATTGTTAAATGGAGACCTATCTTATCGAACGCAAACCTAGAACACTAGGCCTGTTATACGTATGAAACAGGGGTGTCGATCTGTATTCTTTTGGGTGAGCCACTGGCCCCCATATGTCCAATTTGGCCCCCAACGGTAAGTGTGGCCACCCAATCTTTTGTATCGTAGCTAGTTCTTATTTGATGAAGAGCCGTGTGCTGTTGTCGGGGGCCCCATCTGTTGAGCTATTCGGGCACACTTAATCGTTCGAGAATGTCTCCATATTGTGTCTTGGGCAATTCCATTTTGAATAGAGGGCCCTATGTACTTGTTGGGAGCCCTATCTGTTCACCTCCCCGGCCACACTGGATGTTCGGGACCCTGTACATTGTGTTGTGGGTATTTCTTATCCAAATGGAGGGCCGTGCGCTCTTTTCGGGGCCCTATCTGGTAACCTATCGGGCACACTCGGTCATTTCAGAAACCTCCCTATCATGGCTTGGGTATTTGTCATTTGAATGGATGACCATATGTTATTGTTGGGACCCGCCCTATTAAGTTGCTCAGCCCAGTGGCGAATCCATGGGGGAGCACCGAGCCATCCCCCTTGAGCACCGTAGGGACCCATAGGCTCCGAAGGGGTTCATAACCGGTCAACAAGACACAGTTTTCTTACACAAAACACAACGAAATTGGATGCCTTCGGGCCTCTTGGCATCTAAGAACAGTTGCAAGTGAAGAGCCTAAGAGTAGACAAAGTTGGTCAATCGCTGATTGAGAGAGTGGTGATTGGGGAAAAATTTGAGGTTCATTACGTTACCAGAGGCGTTATGCTGTTGTCGGGGACCTATATGTCTAATGCTTGGGTTAATCCGATTGCTAAGGAGTCTTTCACGTTGCCTTTAATCTGTTCGCATTCTCTCGTAGGGCCCTACGCTGCTGTTGGGACGCTATCCACTAACATGCCTGGGCACAATGAGATCGATGGGGGGCCTGCGCTGCTGTTGGGGCGCTATCCACTAACATGCCTGGGCACGATGGATCGATGGGGGGCCCTGCGCGAGTTCAACCATTCGCCCGAAAGACCCTATACGCTTTTGGCGGGACCACATGTGCCAGGGTACATTCAGGTGCTCAGGAGACCTTACGGGCCGCTGAGGCCCGGAGCTCATCGGCTTTTACCGGCCCCTGAGCAACTGATATATGCCCCGGTATATTAATTTGTAGTCCATCATTGTCAATTCATATTGGTCTCGGGTTCCTCCCATTTGCTCAGAGGGTCTTGACCTTGCAACTTCTTTTCAGAGAAATCGGGACTTGTCGTGACTAAATCGCTAAATAAATCGCCAACTTCACGGACATGCGGGCGCAGGGAATTGTTGTAGCGTTTATCCGTTTTTTTTTTTTAAATTTCCCATCGGATCCTGCTGGGTCGGAAAATTGCGCTAACTGCAGGGGGGCAACCTTCGGTGGTGGATCATATCACCCGGTACTCTGAGGTCCAATATTTCCGGGTTCATCTATCCAAGCGTGTTCTGCAGAACCCTGCGTTTGGATGGCAGCTGCTATATCTAACGTGACTGTATTTTTCTTCGCCAACCCATCTTACAGACAAGACAACCACTCTTATCCAATCCACAGACTAATATGACAAAATGACTAACTTCAATGACGTAAGCTTTGTGAAAATCTAACACATATGCATTTATTTGCCAAGCGATGCAAATATCAAGTTTCAATAACTTTTAACGATTTGGTAGCGTATTGTTTTTTCAATTAAATGGTGTGCAAAATTGGATAGTCTTTTTGAAGATGATTCCGGACACATGGTAAATATATCGACAAAATCGGTGTTTCGGAAGTTGGTCGTAATATTGAGCGCAATTCTGACCGTTTCCCCGGATCCTTGAACTGATCAAGTTTTCGAGTTAACCAATATTTTTAGTACTTGTTCTCCTTCGTAAAAGAAAAAGCTCATCCTTATCGTATCACACTGATGTTGTAAAACACAAACGATGAAAATTTTCAAAAAAAGAGATCTTAAAAGCTTCGTACTGTCCTTCCTCGAGAAAACTGTCATCATTCTGCATGTCAAGCTAGCAGCCGGTTCATATCCAACTGTAGATCGATGTTCCCGGCCACACACACGATCTGGCCTAACACGTGTAGGCTGATAAAACTTTGCCTATACATCTGAGAACACAGAAAGCTAGTAAAGACATACCAAACTTCCGAAATATTATAGGTAAGCGTTCCAAGTCCACCGGGCGGACCCCTTCGATCGGGTTCAAAATTTGAGAAGTCATAAGGCATGATCCGAACATTTTTGAATCCCAAAAGCTAACATGAGCATCCAGTACCTTCCGAGATAATATAACTCAACGTTTGAGGTCAATTCGAGCGGACCCGTTCACTCAACTCAAAATTCATGAGCTTGAGCGCTCGCGCGCGCGCGCGTTTGTGTGTGTGTGTGTGTTTCTTCACTGCTGGTGCCATTGTAAACCGCAATAACGGCATTTCTTCATGCATATGAAAACTAAATCATTGACTTTATCAACAGCAACGATCGGACCACCATTGCTTTTGATAGCAACGTACAATCAAAGGTCAACAAAACAGGGACGTTTTAACTGAATTCTTTCGCAATCCTTGGCATAACTGATCGAATTGGACGCGCGCCACACCCGTCGCCTCTCGCGTCACCACTATTTGTTCCCGCACTATTTTGGTTCGCGAGCGCTAACCAAACGCTCGCGACCGCAATTTCCATTCGATTTTAAATACGCTTCAGGGTGGCGTATCTCGTTACGCCGCAACATGGAGTTATTTTAGCACTGCACGCATGTCCTCATTAATATGGTGGAGTACCTCTTGACGCCGAAATGTGAGATGATTCTAGCATTGGATAATGTGATTCCATTTTAAGCCTGGTGATAGCATGCATGGCAATTATGTATAGCTTAACACTCGCGTGGTGGCTTATTTTGATCTGGTGTTAGTTTATTTTCAGCAAAGGCCAGAGTATGCGCTAATATATGTATATATATATATATACATATATATATATATATATATATATATATGTATATATATGTGTGTTACTTTATATATATGCATCAATAATATGCAACAATGTACCACTCATGAGAAGAAAGTGATGCTTTCATATCAATTGACACCATGGATCGTAAGTTCATTCGTAGAGCGATCCCGATATACCTTAGAAGCAAGTGCGTTTTCGCTGCCAGGTGGCTGCATATAATTTAACCCCAGCCACGGTAGTCGTATGGTTTTCTTCCAGCGATAATTATGCGACACATGTCATCAATAAAGCCAGATGTGAACACCACAAAGTCACTTCAGTTCAGCGGTAGCAACGATCCCAGAGTCAAGTAACTACCTAAGTGTAATTATTTTATCAGCGTGCAGAGCTAAAGCTAAATTTGTAAAAAGCTAACAGCCTCAGCACCAGCCCCCATCTACGGTTCCATGCCGTGCTTTACGGTGGTGCAGCGCAAAGCACATGTATTTGCATAGCAATGATTATTTACGAGTACGCCAGTTAGTCAGCGCAAGATTTGCACCCATTTTTCATTTAGGTGCTGATATAAGAGCTGTGCGACCTCGCTCCCCGATCAAAAATAAGTGATCCCGCCCCGGGCCGTTATTGCGCGCATATTGGTTCTCTTGCAGGTTGTTGCACGCAGCGGCCGCCGTGATGAAACGAAGTCCGTTGCATCACTGGCTCATGATGTGCGGAAGCCAGTTCATAAACTTCTGCATACAAGCAAGCTGCCTACACTTGCTATACTGCACGCAGGCTAGCAGATTCCACGCACTAGGTACACACCACGGTAGGATACCGGCGCCTCATGGCATGACAGATTCCTTAGAACACCAACCATTCAGCAGCGTGGACGCTGTGCATTATCACTCCCTGTTATCTACGTTCCATTTACCGAGGAGTGTCATGCTTTCACGCGCGATTTTCCAGTCACATTATTCAGAGAAGTCCTGCCTGGAGGTCTGTGACCACAGCTGTCCGGTCGCCGCTGATTAGAACAACCATTATCTTACTTGTTGTAATGGCTACAATACTCTCCAGCCATTCTCGCTTGCAGACCAGAGTACAATTATAGTGGCTTCTGCTGAAGTTCTGCGTTCTCTTCTGAGGCAGTACTTGCCCTCTTCTGATCTTGACTGGATGCTGAGCTATGCGAGCCCAGAAACACCCGCAGCTCCTTTCAGCTCTTCACGGACTATGGCGGCAAGTGTGACGTGACTTGGCTTTATTCGATGGCGGCTTTATTTGATTATCTAATGGCGAGCGCTAATGGATGGGAATCTCACAAACGCCGCCGATTCAAGGACGGCTGGTCGTTGCTTAGGTACTATTCAGATCAGTGAGACTAACTCAGCTTTGACTGAAATAGATCGACTACGACAACAATGCCTTCTCTGGCTCACTGCCAAGGAACGATGTACGAGCCAGTTGCCTACAGTCAGTTTATCTGTAGGCTCTAAGGCCACGATATCGCTATTTTGGCCTAAAGAATAAATTAGCATGCAAAAACTTAGGCAGTGGCACGATTCACGAGGGCCCTCGCAGGTAACCGGTAGGCGGCCTGTTAGACGCCAATCTGTTGCATTAGATGTTTGAAGTCGGTGCCCTATCCCATGGATGTGGACCTACCGAATAGACCTAACGGGGAGCAGGGGCGAAGTGCTGTATCATGAGTTGGGGGAGGGGGGCTGAGCATTGAATGATGAGAAACGTACCCAAAAGTTACGAAAATAAACATATTTTTTCTCTGGATTTGGCCCACTATTTTCTCAAAGTTAGGGTGGGGAGGGGGAGGCTGAAGCCCCTAACTCCACAGGAAGCTTCACTCCAAATATTACTCTCTGTTTGTTAGAGGCGATGCTTTATGTTCGACTGAGTCATGAAACGTGACACAGCTTTGGACAAAGCTGTAAGAGTTAGATCTATGGATAGCTTCATCTTTGGTATCTTATATTTAGGTGAAACTGTACATAACAAAAATGACACGACCTTGGCTGTTCCCCGCGTCGTTTCGGAGAATCAGCCAAAGTTTCGGTGAGTTACAGTGGAATCGCCTCCTTTCAGCATGTGTGGGAACCGGAGCCGGACATGCGTCAACCGCATTGACTTGAATTTTCGATTCGACTGACATACAACTCAAAATGCCATTTGAAACACAGTCGTCTTATTGGAACAGAGGTTATATACACAGCAGTGCTGAGCAATTTTCAAACTTTCTATCAGCGCATGTGCCCAATATGTGGGATTTTGTAGTCCACAGGTGATACCCCAATTCATGTAACAGAGTGGCGTTATCGGCATTGAATCCATCGCAATCCATTCTGAGGGCGAGCCACATTGATTTTGGCAGGAGCGGAGTTGATGCAGCGGCGGTGCCTATGTCCCTCTCGGCGTGAAATACGAAGTTCTGTTCTGCACGGGTTCAGGTCTACACTTCTCTACGCCTATGCGTGCTACATCACGCGGCGTAGCTTCTTAAAATGAGTGATGCGATGAATGAGAAGAAAGAGACAGGCAAAAACGAGAGCATTTTACAAAACTGGTGGTGGGTTGGGTTCCTTCCTCCCCCCCCCCCCCCCCCCGACAACTTAATGACAAACTGTACCCTTGGTTCTGAACCCGAAACCAACCGCGCAAACCATTTCGAGTAAATGGATACAAATTATTGTTTTGGGCGACGAGCATTGGCATAATCACTTCCTTGGTCCGTGCTGTCCGGGGCCCAGTGTCTTTTGGATGCATAAGATCACCATTGTGTTTTCACCTTGTGAAATGACACGCTAACGGAATTGGGCCGCTGTCACATGTACGCCGCGGTCAGGTCCACGACTTGGAAGCCATGCTGTGTGGGAGAACTCGACAGCAAATTTTGAGGGCGGTGAGCTAAAGGTTGAAAGGCTCATCTGTAAGTTAAAGGCTGAACCCCTTTTCCTTCCCCCAAACCGCTCCTGGTATTCGCCGTATTTTTTAAAATATTTCTGCTGGAATTTGGCGCGCTTGTGAGCGGGTGATGCCATCAAGAGCGCCAAACAGGATTTATCCTAAAATAGCCAAGCTAGTTGGCACACTTGGCATATTTGGCAAGCCCTCCTCGATCTGGTAGCTTTGTTATTAGACGATCCTGGCGCACGTACCACTGACTGATAAACTCGCCGATGATGACGTGACGGCTGTGTCCCGATGATCGTTATCGAGGCGTGTTTGGTGGGCTGTGGTGGAGCGTAGTAACATAGCAGATCCTACCGACGGTTCAAATGTAAGATACACTCTGCTGTTCTTCGTGGAAGTATCCAGATGAAAGTTACCCGCTCCGGATTGCATGGATTACTAATCGTCGTCAGTCGTATCGCGTGTTTGTGAATGTTCGTCGTTCCTAATTTGACCTCGGCGTATCGTGCTTGTCTCACGTGACGTTGCTTCCTGTAGCTTCCGAACCATGCTATAAACGATTCAGATTTTGAATATGACATCTGCATCATTGTAAGAAGTGGTTCGATGCTTGGCATGCAGTTTGCTCACAATTTTGTGAGTCCAAACATCAGTGGATGCAATTTGCTGTGAGCCAAGTAATATGCCATGTGCTGTAATCTACTGTTAAGTAGATAAAAACATAGTTATTCAATGCAATTGTGCTGTCAAGAAAAAATGATGCAACCATTCATTTTGTATTGTTTGGAAATATACACAAGCTATGTGGCTAATGATATAAGGTGAATTATTTCAGGAACACTGTCATTTCCCCCTGCACTTGCAGTACAAGGCAGAGGAGACAAGGTCTCATTGTAACATTTAATAATAACTCATTAAGTCATATATTTATGATCCATTATGCATAATTATATATGCATGATACTTTACACAACAGTTGTATGCATGCCTATACATCTTGCAAGGTTTAGCTGGTCATGTAGTTATGTCCTAATCTGCATGCTGAGGCCTGGTACCTCATGAAACAATATTACAATGGATTTGGCAGGTAACTCACATGACTTGTAGGATGCTGTAGGCCAATTTGAACATGTCAAGATAACATGTATGGGTGATACAGCATGCCTGCAGGATAGAATGCAAACTTAGGATCACATTATTGTTGTTACTGTTCAAATCATATGGGAATGCTGAAAGTCTCAGATCAGTCATTGTGATATTTATTAAACAGTTACAGTGGGCAATACTGTTTAATGCCTAGCTAGGCAGGGTGGCCCTGGCGGTGGGGGCATGTCATAACATTTTACAGAACAAATGGGATGGTCCATTAGTCCTGGTTGGCTAAAAATTCTGAAAGCTGAATAGCTATCCATCCAGGATATGAGTTGTTGATAACCTTGGATCAGCATGAAAAGCATGTATTAGCAGACTTTGTTGCCAAAACTTATACATGCAAGACATCTAGAACAAATGCATCCAATCTGCTCTTTTGACTGCCCTTGTGACAGTTGTTGTCATCACATTGCAGCTTTCCAATGCACTCAGCTGCTGAAATGTGTGGCCTTGCCCTTTGTGTCTGGACCACATCGAGGCCTCTGACAGGTTCGGTTCCTTTTGCAGACATCATCAGGGTGAGGCCCGTCTGCTGCCTCAGCCCGACGCCAGCCGCCTGCCGTGTGTGTGACCCAGCCTGCTGGGCGCCGGTGCCCCCCGCGTCGACCGGTGCCCGCAGCGCGGCCGGAGCCGCCGTCTTCAGTGCAGCGCGCCCGCCGGCCGGCGCACACGCCATGCCCGGCGCCGGCCGCCAGTGAGAGTGACGCGAGCAGCGCGCGCGCCGGCCGCGCCCGGTCATGGCCGCCGCAGAGCAGGAGGAGGCGGACGCCGGCGGCATCCGCACCTCCGAGGACATCATGCGCTCCACCATGACGGACGACCTGCGCTTCGCCGTGCTCATCGGCCTGGTGGAGGTCGGCCAGATGGAGGACAAGGAGATTGTCAACACCATCCTGCACCTGGTGAGTCAGGGGCCGAGCCTGAGCTCGTGACCGACGGGTCGAGGTCTGCTGGCGAAGTGGCTCGGCCGGCTGGTGTCAGCCGATGGGCCAGGCTGATGCAGCGCTGTGGCAGGCCGGAGTCACCAGCTGGTGTCAGCCGATGGACCAGGCTGAGGCAGCGCTGTGGCAGGCCGGCCGTCACCGGCTGGTGTCAGCCGATGGACCAGGCTGAGGCAGCGCTGGGGCAGGCCGGCCGTCACCGGCTGGTGTCAGCCGATGGACCAGGCTGAGGCAGCGCTGTGGCAGGCCGGCCGTCACCGGCTGGTGTCAGCCGATGGACCAGGCTGAGGCAGCGCTGGGGCAGGCCGGCCGTCACCAGCTGGTGTCAGCCGATGGACCAGGCTGAGGCGGCGCTGGGGCAGGCCGGCCGTCACCGGCGGGTGTCAGCCGATGGGCCAGGCTGAGGCAGCGCTGGGGCAGGTCTGCCGTCACCAGCTGGTGTCAGCCGATGGGCCAGGCTGAGGCAGCGCTCGGGCAGGCCGGCCGTCACCAGATGGTGTTAGCCGATGGGCCAGGCTGAGGTAGCGCTCGGGCAGGCCGGCCGTCACCAGATGGTGTTAGCTGATGGGCCAGGCTGAGGCAGCGCTGGGGCAGGCTGGCGGTCACCAGCTGGGGTTAGCGGGGGGTAGCGTCGGATGGGATCCGATTGATCGTCGCTCGGATCGGTTATCGTAGGCTGGGTCGGTTATTGGCGGCCTCACATTGACATGTGATGTCTAGTTGTACTATTTGTCAATGTTACCAGGTTGCCTTACCAAAATTTAGAAGAGTGGTTAATTTGGTAGGTACACCAGTGAGACAGAAATCAATTATTCCCCTGGTACTCTTCAAAAGCTTAAGCCCAAAACTTTCCACTTTTGCGACACGTTACGTGATTAGCGGGAATCTACGGGCAGCCGGAGAGGGTGGGAAGGGAAACCGATAGGTCCCGATGCTGGTGTGTCTGTGCAATAAGTAATGGGAGATTGAGTAATGGAAGGCGTGCTTACGGGTGCTGCACCTGTTTAGTCGCGCAACCCATGATACCATTTTTTTGCGTCATTTTTCACACTTTCTGCTATCAGAGCCCAATTTATGCAGGTGCAAAATGGGCAGGCACGTTCTACCTCGTTAGCTTTTGCTATCTAAGCACGTAGGTTAATTGGGCTTTTGACATCCCTGCAGTAAGAACACACCCCGTCGTGAGGTACGCTTGATTCATGTCTCGTGAGCCACCTTAAGGTAGAATGTTTACCCCACTGGGTTTAACATCTTGCTCGCACGTTGAAATAGACATGAGTAGTGCCAGTTTCTCGTCGTTTGGCGGTTTATGAGAGCAAATCTAGGCCCAATACGCACCTCATTCAGGCAGATACGAGGGCACCCGCAATGCTATCCGCGTGGTATCTGGTGATCTCTGGATTGGAATTTCCCTCTGGCGAGCTGAAATGAAAAAGGTCAGCGGAGGCAACATCGTCAACCTGGCGGACGGACGATATCCAACAGTTGTTTGCAACTATTTGGGATGCTGGGACGTGCGGCTGGTTGTCTCTTGGATGGATTGCCCGGTTTTTATTGTGACGCCATAGTTGGGTGGCCATCCTTGATGGGAGACAAGTGGAATGACGTGAAGAACGTTACTGGATCAGCCTTCATGAATAGTTGCTTGGTCCAATGAGCCAGGTCAGAACAGAAATAGAAAAGAGAATCCTTGTCAAATGGAACTGGCGAGCCAAATGTTAAAAGCATGCGACAGTCGTCTTCTAGAAGATCATATGCCAAATGCCTTGGAGCGTTATGTTTTTGGCATAGCATATTAAAAAGGCTTGCTTAAATTGGGCAAGACATGGTCTTTGAGAACATGTTTGAAAGAGATGATCATTATCACTTATTCTTATGGCTTCATCCAAACGTGGGACATATCTGATGACGGGCGCAACATAGCCTTCGCCGTCGGCGCGCAGCAAAGCTGCAATCATCATCATCATCACTATATCTGATGACCATGCGTTTGCGCAACATGCGTAACGCGAGGATGGATCCGTCACATGACATTCAAAGTCGTTGGCCGGCATTCCGAGTTTGAAGACCTGCAAAGCTGCGCTGATTGCTACGCCGCTGCTCGGGTGGCGCGGTGGATAGCAGTCCAGTCGCACCTCGTAGCGAATGGGAGACGCAGGCATTGAGAGTCGCATCACGACGTGGGTTCGATTCCCAGCTAAGGCGGATATTTCGCAGAGGATGAGGGGAAGACGTCATCGATGCAGGCTGTGCCATGGCGGGCAAGTACGGATTAGAAGTACCCGCTTACCTTTTGTTATTTCTGTTTGCGAAGGCGAACGCAACACATGTCGTTATGCGCCGTGTTATAAAGCGTCTGCGACTGTAGATATCATAATAGTGCTCATGAGTCAAGGCGCAGCCGGGTTTTGAATCCGGGGCTCCTGCGGGAGGCGAAGGCACCGACCACTCTGCCATCACGCTGCTCTTTGGATGATAGGTCTGGGGACTTTCAGGATTTCACCACTTTGTATCAGGTTCGTTGTCCCCGTGACGAGATATGACTACGGAGGGTTCTGGTCCCAGGCAGACCCTAGCAAATAGTCTATTTGACGTCATTTCGAAACAGGAAATGCCGCTGCTTCTTTTTTGAGTGGTCAGCGTGGCGAGTGCCGCGATAGTTTTGTATTTAGGGCAATTGCTCTAGCATATGCAAACTGACGAAATCAATCTGCTTCTCAAATTGCTTGAACCATATTGATGTTGGAGCCCGCGGCACTATGACACAGCCCGTAAGTGGCTAATATCCAGGGGGACAATGCCTCAAAGGTGCTGTTGACAGCCGGTAATTTAGGCGATACTGTTGGCTTTGGGTGCCGTAACAGCTCGTGCGGTTATGTAAGGGTTTGTGACGGCCTGCTGTCGTCTGTGCGACCGGGCTGTGATCAATATCGATGTCTGTCTTTGTATGTGCACTGCGGCCGGTGGTGGCCATATCCTCAGGCTGTGATCGGTACGTGTTTGTGTGTCCAGAGCGTGACTGGTGCCTTCCGTGTGTCGGCTCAGTGGCTGGTTTGAGGTCGTTTTTCTGCACTCTTAAACAGTGTGCTGGAGCGTTTATCGGGTGCAGGTCGTGTCTACGCTGTAGCTGGTGTTTTCCGTGCCGTGTTGCAGGATGACGTGTCGCTGGATATCTTTTTTTCATCGAGCGAAATATCCCGACATCTTAACCAAGATTTCGCACTGCTTATTGCCTCGATATACCACACATTACTGAGTTCAGATGTACTGTGTGATTTCAGATGCTTTGAGATAGCAATTGTGACCCGTTTCAGAATTTCGAAAGACCTGAAATAAATGAAATATGATGGCTAGTATCTTTTTACTTCTGAATATTCGACTTTTACACTGCGACTTCGCGATTTCTTCTGTTTGACCTAGGACACCGAACCAAAACTCAAACGATTCTCTTATCTACCGCGTGTCCACGCTGTAACTAGTGCCTTTCGGTTTGTCTTTAGTGCGCTTAGGTGTCTTGACATGTACCGGGATTGCGACGGGTGGATGTCCAGTGTCGTTATCATGGCTGTTCGCTGTTTCACTATAATGGGTTTGTGTTTGTGTGTCGCCGCTATAACTTGTGTCTGCCCGTGCGTTGCTAAGGAGCCCAGCGATTGCGCATGCGCCCTTGCTTTAAGCGCCTTGCTATACGTGTCGTAGTGTACTGCAAACTATCAGCTCTTGCAATTTATAAAGTGAGACATTGTCAATTAGTAAACTGCAATCACATGGTTAATCCTGCCGTAATTCATGTTGTTTGTCGTTCTTTCACTCTGATCGTTGTCTGTCTTTGTATGGACGGTGATTGGTGTGAACCCTTGTGTCATCAAGACCACTTGTATCTGTCCACGTTTCGTTGGTTATGTGCTTATCTGTTAACTCACGCCCGGGTGGCCGGTTGAATACCCTTTGCTCGGGTGGGGGCCAGTTTGAAGTCCCTGAGATTTCAGAAACTAGAAACACCAAATTCGCGGCGTGTGTTAGCCTGTGTGTAAACTCACTCGTGCCAAACTTTAAGGTTCTTAGGTCATGATTTTCGGGTCAAATAAGGCCAAACAAGGTCATGCCCCAGAAGGTCATGGTAACTAAAATCATGCAAAACTGCTTTGAGTTTTGCGTTTGAATAAGCGTCAAAGATTATGCTAGGCGGTATGTTCCTAAAAACAAAATGTTAACGTAGGCCATTTTAGGTTAGTGACCTATTCTGATCCTTAAAAAGTCCACGGAAGATGTGAAATGCGGTTTCTGTTATCAGTAAATTCAGAATGAGTATCAGAAACTAATCCATGCGGCAAGAACTAGAGTACTAAAACGACCTCGTTTTGAACTTAGTCTGACCTTTATACCTGACCCTAGGTCAGTGGAATGTGATCATTGAATTGTAGTGTTGCCCAAAAAGTATCTCGGAGATGTGTGACTTCATCTAACACTTCGTTGTCGCATCGGATTTAGCGATTCCCTGGACATTGCCCTCGCTGAATCCCTGGCGTGAGTTTGACCTTTCGTAGGTCAGCGACGTTACAAGGCGCAGCTAAATATTTATACCAAACTATGCGCAACTCAATTATCTACAGCTGTGCAAAATTTGGCGCGGCTACGCCGCACCGTTCGGAAAATATGCTGGAAAACCTCTGGGATGGTCAATTTACCCCCCCCCCCCCTCCCCGAGCGCGTGTTAATGGGGCTGCAGGCAGGAAACTGTCTGGTGCGCCTTCCCAACACTGATGCCTGTCCATGACTGATGTGAAACCGTAACTTGCTGGTGCGCTGCTGCACTCTACCTGTGTAACTCACTGACGACTACGATGTGTCCATGTTCAGCCGTCGTCTACTACCTGTGTAGCTCACTGACGACTACGTGTGTCCATGTTCAGCCTCGTCTATTTGTGTAGCTCACTGACGACTGCGATGTGTCCCGTATTCAGCCGTCGTCTACCTGTGTATCTCACTGACGACTGCGATGTGTCCGTATTCAGCCGTCTTCTACCTGTGTAGTTAACTGACGGACTGCGATGTGCCCATATTCAGCCGTCTTCCACCTGTGTACCCTCACTAACGACTGCGACGTGTCCGTATTCAACCGTTTGTCTACCTGGTGTAACCTCCTGACGGCTGCGATGTGCCCATATTCAGCCGTCGTCTACCTGCGTAGCTCACTGACGACTGCGATGTGTTCATGAGTCCGCTGTGACCATGGCCTGTGCGCCTCCGCATGCCTGCGTGATGTCCGATGTCTGCACAGGCACCGCTGTCCCACGTGACCTGCAGCCTCCCCCGCGGTGCGCGCACACCGCCCTGCCACTGACGCGCGCCTTGCCCTTGCAGCTGGTGGGTGGTGAGTTCGACATGGAGCTCAACTTCGTGGTGCAGGACGCCGGCAACATCCTGCACATGCTGGAGGTGCTGGACCACTGTTCGGTGAAGCTGCAGGTGAGTGTCGGCGGGAAGGCTCGGGGCGGGGGGCGAGGGCCCCGGGCAGCGAACCGGGCCGGACCGGGCCGGACCGGGCCACGGCTCCCGTGGGGCTCTGGATCCTGTAGGCCTGGTCGTGGAAGGCTGGCTGGCGCCTGGCTCTCGGCGTGCGATGCCCGATTGACGGTCAGGTACATATCTGAAAATGTGACGAAGAGTTCAGCACGGGCAGCCGGTGGCATTGGGTACTTTTTCTTAGTTCTGCGCCAAAACGGCGTGGATGTGGGCCCCTGTTTTTGGTTTTGGGACACTTGCAAGCAGGTTTGTATCTCAGTTATTGTTTTTTGACTGACTAGCAAGAGGCCGTGATCAATTTAGTGACTAGTACGTAAATTGTGCGTCAGAGTTGTTAGAGTAATCAGTTAGTGTGGCGCTATAACCGACAAGTCTTGTCTGGCGGCTGCTTTAGCGGGTCATTCGCTTGTCGCTGCAAATTAGCTGGATGCCGTGAACGCAGGCGACTGTTTTACGTTGTCGTTCAGTGGTTGTCCGCCGACTGACCGGGTTTATTTTCTTCCGATAGCATCTTTGCTCCCGGAGACGGTTGCAGATACGTGTGTTGTGTCATCTTGTGGCCATTCCGTCACCCTCCGGTCGTGCGCTGTCCCCCGCGCCATCGGGATCGCCTCGCCGAACTGCGTCACTTCCATCACGGCGCCTTGAGCTGGGATTCCAACATGGCGCCGGCCGTCTCGTGCGTGCAGGCGGAGATCTGGAGCGTGTTCACCTGCATCCTGCGAAAGTCCATGCGGAACATGCAGGCCTGCGTGGAGGTCGGCCTCATCGAGCACGTGCTGCGGCGGCTGCCCAAGGCCGACACCGTCGTGGCGGGTACGCGACTGCCGCCGCCCCGGGCGCGCGCTCCCGCTCGCTGCAACTCTCAGCACTCGTCTTATCTTGTTTGCATGTTTGAATACGCGATCAAGGACAGGACATTTTCACAGGAGTCGGCGCGTGGTGTCATCGTCGGGGCGGTGTTGTTTCACGGGTTGGCGTTTTGGGTTTTGGTGCGGGCGGGAGGGGGGGGGGGGGGGTAATATTCTGGCGTTCAGGTGGTGGATTTTGAAATTTGGGATGGAAACTCTCTTTGCGTTAAGTCGCGTAGGTATGCCAGTGACATTCTAAAAGTGCTAGACGATGGAATCTGTGTGGCGGGAGTGGGGCTCCTGGATGGGAGAGCAAAAATTTCTCAGTCACGAAAGCGTAGAAATCTTAATTTTATCTATATTTCTTCATTATCTAAATAAAATGATTAGCTAAAGAACTTTTATCTATAAAATAAATCTGAAGTTTGGATGGTTAAAAGGCATACCAAATATGGGACATTTTACTGTCTGAACTCACGGAGCGGTCGTACGGTAAGTACCATGCGGCAGTTCACCAGAAGTTGTGTAAGCTACCGTCTGGCAAGGAAGCTGGGGATAAAATCCCGTGGGTTTTGACAGTCCAACAGCAGACCGCCCTTTCTACGCTGCGTTTGAGTCGTGTCCCATCATTAGGCTTCTCCATCTGATGTGATTTAACCATATGCTCGCCATTCGGTGTGGTAGCTGGCTATCCGACCGCCTGCTGACTATCTCATGGTTATCAGTCGTGTGCGGCCAGCGGAAGACGGGCAGTGCGCAACTGTCGAGCTATGCGCTGGCGGTGCACTACCCGCACCGCCCAGTAGTCGGGGCCGCCGCGTGTCCCGGAGCGCCCCGCCCGACCCCGGAGCGCGCCGCCTGACCCGGGAGCGCGCCGCCTGACCCGGGAGCGCGCCGCCTGACCCCGGAGCGTGCCGCTTGACCCCGGAGCATGCCGCCTGACCCCGGAGCATGCCGCTTGACCCTGAAGCGTGCCGCCGGACCCCGGAGCGCGCCGCCGGACCCCGGAGCGCGCCGCCGGACCCCGGAGCGCGCCGTCCGGAGGCCGCCTTGGAAGCGCTGCAAGCTCGCCACTGCCTTCGTGTTGTCCGTGTAATGGCACTTAGCCGCCGCGTGATAGAGCAGCCGTGCTCGGCGGCCCGTTGCGCCGACGGTCGGCGGCCGCTGCCGCCCGCTGATGGCGGGCACTCAGTGGCGTCTGGGGGCGTTTGTGCGTTCTCGCGCTGGGGGTAGTGTGCCGGACGACGACCCTTCCGGCCGGCCGCGGACGGCGCGGGGATCGTCAGGCCGCGGGCCAGGTCACGGAGTACTGCCTCCCGGATGGGCCGTGAGCACGCCATGACGTGGCACGGAAATGGGAGTGTTCGTGGTTATCCTGGCACCATGAGAGGTGTTTTAACCTTCGTTCGGTTGTGGTTGGGCTCGGGATCGTCTAAAAAATGGATTGAATTTAGTACAGTCGAGACTCATAGCTTTGAATATACGTTAGGATGTTTAGCACAGTCCAGACTCGTGGCCTAGAACATGTGTCAATATGTTGCCTCTGAAGTCGACCCTTTTGGAGCTGACTCCGGATGTGAGCACAACATCTGCTTTAGTTGGAATCAGGCTAGACTCGAACCTTGACACCCCGGTTTTAAGCCGAAGCGGGGCTCCTTGATTCAATGCCGGCTTTGTCAGAAGTCGTAGTGGTTCAAACTGGGTGGGCTGTGGGCGAACGTTGGTCCCGCGCCGTTGCATGTCGCGTGTCGTCTGCGAGGGGGCCGCGGTAACGTCCGCCATCCCGCGCGCCGGCAGACCTGCTGGTGGAGCTGCTGGGCACCCTGGCCACCTACAACGTCACCGTCAGCCAGCTGAAGGTGCTGGTGGGCAGCATGAAGGCCGGCACGGGCGCCTGGGTGAGTGGCAGCCCCCGGCGCGGCGCGGCTGCCGCCAGCGCCGGGCGGCCGGGACCGGCGGAGCTCCGGCGACTCTGCACTCGGCGCCCAGAGCATGCGCCAGGCCTCGCCTGCACCGCCATGTTGGGAGTTTACTTTTTACTTACCCGTGGATTGACCCTGAACGAGTCTGAGTCGGTGGAGGGCTAAGGATGTATGTCTGTGGTAGTGAAACATTTGTATGTACTATGCATAGTCAGATGGACGAGACTCCGCCAGAAATATAGGTGGAGACAGCCTGTACTAATCGAGTGTGGGGGGGGGGGGGGGGGGGCGAAGCCGCTCCTCCACGTTTAAAGGTTAGGGTAAACTTGTCGGCGAACGGAAACTCCACTGCCTTCATGCTGGTGGTGGGGTGCGCGTCTCAAGCTCTGTTTCGCGTGTAGGACACCCGTCCTGAAATACACGGAGCCCTAAGGCACGCTTGGAAGCCGTGCTGCCTGCATTTCTTCAACAAAGTATCTGGACGGAGTACGTTGAAACGCTCCCAAAGGCTGTCAGAGGCATTCGATTGGTTTGAAAAGGTCACGAAGTGCTACCGCTTTGGACGGACGATATGGACCGGTCCCATGAGGTGGAGAAGTTTGGCTCGTCGGCTGTCAAATTCAGTAGAGCAATATCGCCGATAATTTTTCCCCAGGCCGTCAGTTGAGTCTTAGCTGGGCAGTTCTGGGAGTAAAGGCTTATACTGTTGCGGTCTCTCCGAAACAAATGCGAAAGCGGATGACGTGCAGTTTGTGCGTGTTGCGTCTAAGCTAGTTCGAAAAACGTCGATCTCCAGGTCTGCAAGAGGACAGTCACAAGTGCTCAGATGCTCAGTGGCAGACAACTCACTTTGATCATGTGCGGATCCTAATGTTTTAGTTCACCCCGGGTCAGGCGCGGCGGTTTAGTGAGGGGGGAGGGGGGGGGGGGGGGGGGAGGGCGGCAAGGTGCACTGCAGCAGCGGCGGGATGACTCAGACTCAGCTGAGAGCCCCCCCCCCCCCCCCCCGTCCGGTGCGGCGGCGGTCCGGGCGCAGCGGCGCCGAGGCCGGTGCAGCCGGGGCCGGCCGCGGCCGCGTGACCGGCCGGCAGCGGGGCACGGCGCTGGAGCTGGCGCCGACCAGCAGCGGCGATGAGGCCGGTACAGCCGGGGCCGGCCGCGGCCGCGTGGCCGGCCGGCAGCGGGCCACGGCGCTGGAGCTGGCGCCGACCAGCAGCGGTGGCGCGCTAGTGGGCGTGGCCGGAGATGAGCGAATTCATCAGCGGACAGGCACGGACTTCGTGTACACCAGCGATAAGACCCGCTAGCGCTGCAATGAATTTTGATTAAGTCGGAGAGGCGTCTGGTTCTTAAATACTGGCAGCTGTTGTCGTGAAATCGTAGCTCCCAGGGTGTATATTACACCCCGTGACCTGCGATTTCACGATTAACAGCTACGCGTTTTCAGAAATTTCGACGGGTATTTGAAACGTGATCGGTCTTTGTCCCGGCAGCATCCAGCACATCAGCTTTCAGTCCAAAGGGAGCGAGCCGAAGGCGTGGAAATCAGGGCCGCAGAGTGCGGCAGAGCCCACTTATAAAAGCCACGCAGCTGTGACAGCAGCCTCAGGTCTGGCCTCCAGAGATGCCCAGACCACCGCGGAGCCAGATGGAAGGCATTCATTACAAATGGGTTCGCTGGCGGCTGTGACACGTCAGTAATGGGAAACGAAGCCACGACGGATGGGCGCGCGTCCGACGATGAGGCGTGTGGTCTGTCGAGTACCGGACCGGACCGGAACGGAACGGGACGGAACGGAACTACGCACAGTGCCGTGCCAGACCTGGACTTGGATCTGGACCTGGCCCTGGACCTGGTTCTGGATCCGGACCCGGACCCGGACCCGGACCCGGACCCGGACTCGGACCCAACCCAGAAACAGACCCGGACCCGTACCCGCACCCGGACCCAACCCAGATGCAGACCCGGACCCGGACTCGGACCCGGACCCGGACCCGGACCCGAACCCAACCCAGATGCAGATGCGGACCCGGATCCGGACCCGGACCCGGACCCGGACTCGGACTCGGACTCGGACTCGGACCTGAACCTGAACCTCGGGACCTGGACCTGGACCTGAATCTGAATCTGAACCTGGACCTGGACCTGGACCTGGACCTGGACCTGGACTCCGAAAAGGCCTTAATGTGAATAGCCCGGCCGCGGCGTCCTTATCGCTCAGAGAAGCGAACACGGGGTCAGCGGGTCTCCCTTAGACGGCATATTGCTGGCTGGCTTTTAGCGGATAAAGATCTGGTCAGCATTAGCTCGAATGTTGTTATTTCGCGGCCTATCACCGAAGTTACCTGTCCTCTGAGAAGGAGGCGCCTTTGAATCGTGGAAATATGCTTCTGCGCAATGGCCACTGCGAATTGCATCCTCTATGCCGCCTCTGCCACATCGAAACATTCGGTCGAGACCGAACGCCCGTGATCGGTCGCGCTCCGCTGGCGGGTCGGGCTCCACCGGTGCTCAGGCGTCGGGCGGACTGCACTCTTGGCTGGCGGCTCGGTGTCACCCGCTGACCGTAGCGTCGTCGCCGGTGTGAAGGTTGAGGCTGACGTGAAGGCTGGTGGCGTCGGCGGCGCTGCGCGCGGGCCGTACGTGGCCCGACCTGCGGCCGCCGGGGAGGAGCCCCGGAGCTCGCGCCCGGCCTGCTCGCCGCGTAGGGTCAGGGCGCCCGGTCCGGACGGTGGCTCGCTGTGGACTTGTCAGATCCCGGACTCGAACATCGACCGTACCGCGCTCACGTCGAAATAGGAGCTGCCAGGCGACGGAGTCTTTGGCTTAGCGCCTAGACTGCCAAGAGTTTGGCGGAAACTTGTGTAGCCAATGTTATGGTACTGGACTGTTTATGGCGTTGGAATATGTCGCAGCAGTCATTAAATTCCCTGCTGAGTTCTGCTTTACAGCTTGAAGTGTGGGATCTGGGTGAAAGGGAGCGCAATGAGCATGCTTGCTGCGCCGCATTTTGTTGGCCTGAGATTGCACGCGTTGGTCGCACCGTTTGCCGCCACGGGGGCTGCGTACGACTGTGGATGCGTCCCAGGGGAGTCAATCAGGGACGCAGCCAGCACGAGACCAGCGGAACAGGCAGGCTGCTCGCACAGTCCTGTTGGGAGTGTTGCGTTGCTGAATGCTGGCAAGACATTACTCCTCCATTCTGGTTTTGTGCCCACTTGGTTATTGTTTAAAACAGTAGTTCGTTCTGTTAAAAAACGACAACTCGAAAAGTAACAAAACGCAGCCGCGCATGATAACCCAGCCTAGTGAGAGGTGACTGTAGCGTAATGGTTGAGCTGCACGTCCGAGAAACCGGAGGAAAGGATCCTGCTCCCCGCTGCGCCCGCTCTCCCTGCCACGGCGAGGGGCAGGTGACGTCATGTCAGCGTCAGCGCTGACCGCATCACAAAGCTCCAGTGACAACAGCAACAAGCCTGCCCGGCAACGGGCGCGAGGTGCAGCCTGTTCCTCAGCTGACGCGTCTGTTCGATACGGACGCGCCTCACGCATCTCCCCTGCGGGTCGCTGCACTGGCCTCGCACTGCCCCTGGCGCCCCAGAGCCCCGGAGCGGAGGGTTAGCTCCCGGCTCCGCCCCGCCCCAGGACGTGCGGAGGCGGCGCGGAACTGCCGGCTCGCCCGCGTTAATCGCGCGAACGCAATCCGGCGGAAAGCGCGCGTCACGGTCTCGGTCGCGCCAAAAGCTGGGCGGGGGCGCGCGGCCCGCAGGCGGCCGGGCTCGACGGCGAGCAGGGCCGCGCGGCCGGCCTCTCCTCGGACGGCACTGTAATGGGGAGGGGAGGAAGGGAGGCCGGGTCGCCCAGGGTCGACCCGTCTCTAAGGCCTCGCGATAACGGGCGATTGGTGAGGTTTGTCAGGCAGGCTTGTTGGCCCGGCCTGTGGTCAGTGACGTGCCCGGCCGGCCATCCTCACCCATGGACGGGTGGTTTGTGTGTGGGTGGTGATCGATTGGTCCGCTGGTGGGTGCGCCCCTCCCCCGGATGGACGGTTTGCCGGCCACGGCCGGCCGGCGATCGGTCGTCCCGGACGACCGGGCTCCCCGGGGCGCCGTGACCCTCGCTCTGAGAGCGTAATTCGCCGCACCCATGGCGATTGGCTGATCAATATTCGATCGGGTGCAACGCAGTCGAGGCCCAGCCAATGATCACAAATCTGCCTGCCGATGCGGCTCCGACATATCAATCCAGCGGGGCTTTTCATAACGGTCACCGGGGTCTGCCGCGTGACAGGCGGAAGCTGCAGCACGTCGTGGGCATTTGGAACGGCGTTGTTAGTTATTTGTGTCGTGCCTGTCATGGAAGGGGTTGGGTCTCTGTCAACATACATGGCCTTCGTCTCTATCGAGCCGTAATGGAACGTGCCTGCGGACGCGATGTCAAACAGCGCAGCTTATCGCGAACACACAATGCGTTTATGATGGAGCCAGCCTCTCTACCAGAAGTTCGTAAATGTTGTTACATGTCAGCTCTCGCTCACGGGCCATACCTGGCCTACTCCAAACCGTAACGCCACTGAAAAACAGATAAACGGAGGGCGGCTGTGGGCGCCTGCTGGATTTCAGATCTCGCTGCAAGGCGCTCTCGTCGCTTGAATAATGTTTGGGTAAATATCCCCGTAAGGACCATGTTGGCACGCGAGATGGCGGCCAAGATGGCCCGTGCTCCTCGACGTAACCTGAGGGGTGCACAGCGATCGTCCTGTCCCGCCCTGACGTGTATGGCGCGGCTGCCATGTCAGTCCGCCTCCCTGCCCCCTGCACCAGTCCGCAGCGCTGGTGGACCACGTTCAGCACCCTCCCGGCTTGCCAAGGTGCTGGTCGGTCGTGGCGGTATAGCCGCGTTTATCCTACTGTCTTTGGTATCCTACTGGGCAGTCTGTTCCCGTGCCGTGCGCCCGTCCGGGTCATGTTCTGCCCCGTGACCGCCGTCTGTGCGCGCCGTTGCAGCCGCGCCACTCCAGCAAGCTGCTGACGGTGACTGCGCCAGATGCCGCAGCGCAGCAGCCCGGACACCTTCTTCATGTTCCCCGGCAAACCTAACTCGGTGAGTTGTCTCCCCGGCGAGGACGGCCCGATGACTTTCTCTCTTTTTTCAACTTCGCCCTTCGGCGGACCCGGTCAGCGAGTTTAGTTGAGCTTATTGCGGATCTCGGGAGAGTAAAGTCGGCTTCCTCGCCATCTGGTGAGCCCGGTGAACCTTGTCCGTTGAATTCGGTGAGCTCGGTGACCACCTGAATCAACTCCGCAACAGCTTGGTCCCCAAATGGAGCGGCGCGGCGGTCGTTGGGAGTGGGCATGCCAACGCTTCCCTTTGCGGCTCTCGGTGGGGCCGTTTCGGGGAACACTTTTCCACTCCCCCGACACGGCCGGCGCGGCGCGGCCTCCATGCGGATCGCAGTCGCCACCGGCGCTGTCTGTGGCGGACGGCACCAGGCCAGCGTCAGCAACCGCCTGATGTGCTCGTCCCCGCGCTTTTGTCGGCAAACGTCCGCGAGCTGGGTCGGCCGACGGCACGGCCGCCGCTGGGAAATGTCCGACGGCAGCTGCGGAAATACGGACGGCCGTTTTTGCCGGCCTGGCGCCGGTCGCCGGCGAGCGCTCCGCCCTCGTTTCGGTGTGGCGCGGCGTGGCGGCCGTCGCCGATGGGGCGGTGGCGCGGGCTGGCGACCTGGCGGCACACCCGGCGGTGACCCGTGACCCCGCTGCCGCAGGCGATCGTGATCCCGCCGCTGGCGCGGTGGCCGTACGAAAGCGGCTGGACGTTCGCCTGCTGGTTCCGACTGGACCCCCATCACTCGGTCAACATTGAGCGTGAGAAGCCCTACCTGTACAGCTTCAAGACCAGCAAGGGCATCGGCTACTCGGCCCACTTCGTCGGCTCCTGTCTGGTGCTCACTGCCATGAAGATCAAGGGCAAGGGGTTCCAGCACTGCGTTAAATACGAGTTCCAGCCGCGTAAGGTACGTTATTGGGTCTGTGTGTCCTCAAAGGACTGTTGGTGTAGCGCTGCTGGCGCAGTGCTGCTCGTGGCGTCGATGCTTCGGTCGGTGTTGGTGCTTGCCATGGCGTCGTTTGGGTGCTGCCGGCTTCTCACCACCGCGAGGCCCACGTCGAAGTTCACGTGGCAGTGAGCCTTCCTCGAATCCACCGCTGCCGACTGAGGTTCGGACGCCCGGCGCCGTGCTGCTACGGCACGTCGCCACGCGGCGTGGCTGCCGGGTGGCGTTACCCGCGCCGCGGCTGGCGCTGGCGCCGCGGCCCGCGCGCGCGCCGACACGTGCTGTGACGACCGTGATCCGGAGACGCCCCGCCGCCGGCCGGTCACGCAATGTCTCGGAGCGCGGTGATCGGTGGTGTGTGTGTGTGTGTTTGTGCGTGCGTGTGTGTGTGTTAGCCGCGGATGATGTGGTGCCGAGTCATCCCCAGGAAACGCAGGCCCGTTGCTGGCTAAGCGCTACGGCACGCTACGGTTACGGGCTGAGGCTAGGCGGTGCGGCTGACGGCGTCCAATCTCCGTGTGTGTACTGTGGTGAGATCGTGTTGCGGCAGCGGAGTACAGGCGGCCGACGCTTGGTAAACAGAAGGAAGCGGGTCGCAAATGACGTCATTCAGTTGGCAAATGGACTGACTTCGGACTCTAACTGAAGCGGTAACAGCCTGCGGTTTGCGGTGTGGTATCCGGACGAGTTGATTGATGAAGTATTACTATTTCGTCGCTTGGCGGCTGGGTCAAGCGTTCGCTTTTCCGTCAGAGTTGTCGGTGTCTCTGGGCCAGCGTGGCACAGCGCTGTTCTGACACATTCCGATAGTCCTTTGTGGTCCATTGAAGTTGTGCACTCAAAGAGCATTGACCATCATGACGTTCAGTTGTAACGTGATATCGTACGTGTTAGTGCTCTGTGGACTGCCATTGCAATTCGGAGCTTGCGCGGAGTGGGCGCCATTTGCGGCCCACTAACGGGAGTGTGAGTGGCGCCCCGCCCCCGCCCCCGCCCCCGCCGGTCCGCCTCAGCAGGGTCCGTCGTTACCGTCTCAGCGACCAAAGCACGCCCGACTGACCGCCGCCGGCGCGTTGCAGTGGTACATGATCGCCATCGTGTACATCTACAACCGGTGGAGCAAGAGCGAGATCAAGGTGTTCGTCAACGGCCAGCTGGCGTCCAGCACCGAGATGGCCTGGTTCGTGTCGCCCGGGAGCGAGGTCAGTACCCAGAGGGGCACGCTCAGGTCCTTGACATGGGGCGGAGGGAGCGACGACTGAAACTCAGAGCAGCCAATTAGGGGGCACGGTCGTCGTGACGTCATTGCAGATTGACGCACCGGTGCACGGCGGTGGTGCAAATGCACCAACTGCAGCACCGTGCGCCGCCGTACGACCAGGTCACAAGCCGTCATCGGTGCCCACCGTGCGTCGGTGTTCGGAAATATGCCATGTCGTTGT